CTTTGCGCGGGCACCCCTAAACCTGGCTCAAGACCAACGAGCTTGCTGGGTGATCCTGTCTTCGGCAGAGCGTCCGCCGTATCATTGCCCTTTATCCCAGCGTTACCCGGTACCCACACTAACGATACGGGATGCCTCGCTGATAGACAACCCAGAGCCTCCCTTCATTGCAATATAAGGCTCGAAGCAATCTTACAGGCACTGAGTGCCTTCATGGCAGCCAGGATGTCGGAGAAGCATCCTAGGCAATCCGCCCTCCAAAATGCGGAATACACAATACGAATCGCAAAGATTTCCGCCTCGAAAATAGTGGTATATCCACAATGAGGCAGAGATAGACCCAGAGACTCCGGCGCCAGAGCCTCCTTCGGTGACCGAGCCATCCGTGTACCAGACCTGCCCAATCACTGCGGAGACCTTCCGGCTACCGGAGTCCCACTCCGCCCATGTTGGATACTTCAAATCAAACTTGCGGTTGAAGCGATATTTATGAGTGATCAGATTACTCCTTCTCAGAAGGACAGGATCCTCCCTTTGCAGATCGACTAAGAGGGCAGTGTGGCGCTTGAGAGGATTCAAGATCGCCCAGCTGCCCTCATTCCACAGTCGATCTGCGACTACTCTCGCTTCACCGAGAACCACTAGATCCAACGCAACGGTGGGAGGTCCAGCAGAGCTTCCATTGCCATCAATGCTGATACAGGCCAAACGCTGAACTTTATTGAGTTTGGCCTTAGTTGTCTCGGTTCCGATACAAGGCCACCAAACCAGAAAGCCGTACAAGAGAGATGGGCGAACTATCGTCATGTTGAGCCAGAACCTCTTTGGGTTTAAGCCCCCACCTCACACCGACTACACGTCTGCAAGCCCACATTGAATTGCGAGCCTTGTTAACCTAGTATTCAACATGCTCTCGCCAGATATTTTACTGATTGGGATAGAACTAATCTAGTCCTAAAGAAGATTGGCAAGACAAGCACGTCAAGGCTTCTTCTCCTAGTGAATAGGATCAGCTCGGTCTTTACAGCGTGGACAGAAAGATCAACCTCCTTTCACCACGATTCCACAGTGCGCAGAGCGCCCTGCATACTCTCAGAGACTGTTCTACAAAAACGATCCCTAACCACTATGCTCGTCATCAGCATAGGCTTGCATATATGGTAAACACCTGCATTGCTGAGCCTAACGAAGAGTACGTTCACCGCGAGGCACCACAGTAGGGGTGACAGAACTCCGCCCTGCGGACAGCTCCGAGCTATACGGACGCTGCAGCTTACGTTATTCAGCATAGCTGTTGCTACCCGACCCTCCAGAGTGGATAGGACCCAATCTACTAGGATTGATCCAACCCCGTTCCTATCCAAGGCATGTTTAGGACTAGGAAACAACCCGGATGAATTTTTAAAAAATGATTTCTGTCACTTTTCTATTTGGTTTCTTTGTTTGTTTGTTTGTTTATTGTACTTTATACATTTATTTTGCTTCTTTTTAACAATTATACTTTATGCATAATTGAATTTTTTTGGGTATTAATATCATTACATTATTAATATTATTACATATCTTAATAACCTCTACTTGGGGAACTTCTGGGTTCTGGGGTCAGGGAGGGGTTTCGAGGATTGGCCCCATTGGGTTTTTGATCACCATATTGAAAACTATCTGTATGCAAAGTTTCAACTAATTTAGCAGACAGTCTGAATTGTGGGATTCTTTCATATCATCGGTCTTCGTACGTACAGGCGTAAATAACAAAAAAAATCTAAAAACGACTGACGCCGTACGTTCACAGATTTTTTTTGTAGTCTCTCACCTCAAGAAATGACGTAACTGAATATCAGTTCACTGCTGGGAAATACAAAATTTTTAAATTGCTCAAGTGATAAAATTCCGAAAACAATTTTCACGTACCGGCTTAAATAGATTTACGCATCTGCGTGAAAACTGTTTTCTTTATTTGACCGATAATTATACAGCACTTACCGGTGCATGTGTCTCAAATAATATGTAAAATATGTCTTAATTTTTTTGAAACTAATCATGGGCAGAAAGAAGGAGATTCAGCCCACAGTGCCATCAGTCATGCCATCACGCATGCCGATGATCTATTTATCCCTTTCATCGTATGATACGTTTTGCTAGATCTCAATAGCCCTATATGATCACTCCAATGAATCATAGTGACTTTCTCGATTCCAAATCATTCTCCGAAATACAAATGTTAGCGGTAAAAGTGAGTGAACTAGGAAATAAAATAAAATGGACAGACATGATGAAAATAATGGTAAAACAGGATGAACCTATGACACTATTTTTTAAATACAGACATCAAGACCACCATTATGATAGGTTAGTATTGAAACATAGAATTAAGGGCGGTATAAGTAACGTGCCGTTAAAACCTTTGAATGAAGGACTTACTAAGATATCGAACAAAAGATCTTATCTTATATCTTTATGCAAAGGAGAAACTTAACTTCAAAATAATTTACTCTGGGATTTACTTTTTGTTTGTACTTATAAAAGAATTTTTATTTTTCGATACCTTGATACCCAAGTCCAGTTCTAAATTGTTGGCGTAACTACACAATAAAAGAAACAAGAGTCGTCACGAAATAGCGAAAATGTACAAAAAATATTTTTTTCAAAACTCATTTTTTTACTTACTTTTACAAAATTAAACCATCCCAAAACAAATTTCTACGTAATTTTAGTCTAACAAAGAAAAAGCAACGTGCAGACTAAAACATCAGTATGACATTTTCAAGCTCATTTATTGCTGATTTTCGTTTTCTAGCTCTCCTGTAAAATTTGTAAAATGTTAGTTACGCCGGTACGTGCGGAGACCGGCGATATGTGTAATGCGTCCCTAAGCTGTATAACGGCATGTTCCCTTTTCTCTTTTTATCCTGCTATTTCGCCAGATCTGGAGTTGGCATATAAATGACAAGTTTGATCCAAATTGAAACAACATTGCCTGTGCTACTATCTCCGGGCAGAGGCAGATCAACAACAGGTCTCTGGTTATCAGGCACGCCCACACATGGAACGTCATGGCGCGAAGCGACGACAGTGACCGAGTTGCTAGCCAGCTCGCAGCCTCCCCATTCCCCCTTGCTTCTCCCCTACTTTGGGAACCAACCATCGTGATGTCCCTGGCAATTACGGTTAATAATTAGCGGAGCGCAAACTCTATTATCGCCGTTGCAGGGTGGCTATGGTCTCGATGTAGTTTATGGTCTCTAACTGAACCTACGTCCATTCAATTCAGTAAGATACGCGCGCCGCTATCAGTATTCCGGTAGGATTAAATTCATTTTCCATTAGGCAAAAAAATGTACAAAAACAATGGAAAATATTTTGAAGCTCTGAAGCTGCTATTAATATGCAATCAAATATGGAGCATTCAGTTTTTAGAAAAATAAAAATCTGTCAGTTTTTTAAATGTTAAGTCCCATATTTTATTCACATTCTGATAGACCCTCCTAAAATAAGAAGATTGATATGTTTTTTTATGTACATATATATGTGTTGATGTTAAGTTGTTGCGCTTCAATTCAATGTACAAAAAAGCTGAACTTTGACACCCCGCCATTCCATCATATTTAAAAGTGGTAAATTTATATACTCGTAATAAGAATGTATAGTCTACGGTTATAGAATACTACTGAGAAGCTTTAAAATGATGTATAACATGATCCCCTATTGCACTTAGAAATATACCAAGGTGACGCCCAGGCACTATCTTGAATTTTTCAGCTGTCACTTTTACGCAAGAATGCATAAATTTCATCACTCCAAATTCCAGCTTTCTAACTTGACCCGTTCAAAAAATAAATGGACCTTTTTGAAAGGAAAGAGTGCATGACCACACTACCGCAATCTTGTTGATTTTCTGGGAAGCAATATACAGGGTGGCGCAGAGGAAACGCATGTTTTGCCTCACCGCCAGCAGAGAACACAGTCAATGCAGTTTTAGCCATTTCTCCGAGGACAACTGAGCATCGTGTGTTTGCCGTCGAGCAATTTTTCCGAAACAATGATTCTGTAGTTACCGTGCAACGTTTATTCCGTCGCCAGTTCAATGTTAAACGCCAAGGATCAATTCCAGATCGAAATACGATACTCTGATGGGTTGATGCATTTCGAACTACTGGATCTGTAATGAAAAGGTAGCCACCTGGCCTTCCCCGTGCGTATGCCCGTCGATCGTTACAACGCATTCTGCACGATTTACAATTTCATCCCTGTAAGATAATGATTGTGCAAGAGCTAACGGAAAGTGATTTTCCCCACCGTAGACAGTTTTGTTCCAGAATGCTGACCATTTTTGCTGATGATCCTAACGTCGTCATAATGATGTGTGACGAAGCACACTTTCATTTAACGGGCTATGTAAACAAGCATAACTGTAGGTATTGAGCGGCCGAAAATCCACCAGAGCTACACCAACGACCCTTGCATAGTGAAAAATTGACTGTGTGGTGCGGAAGTAGTAAATTAGGTATCATTGGTCCTTACTTTTTTGAGGAGGAAGAAAGAGCAGTAACAGTTACTTCAGCACGTTATGTTCTCATGTTACAAAGTTTTCTGTTAACCGAACTTCTACGGCAACAAGTAAACATGGGAGAACTGTGCCTCCATCAAGACGGTGACACAGCTCACACAGTGAGAGCATCAATAGAATGTGTTCGACAAATGTTTCCTGAAGCTGTGATTTTCCGTTTCGGCTATGTTACTTTGCCTCCACGCTCCCCAGATTTATCTGCATGTGACTTCTTTTTGTGGGGTTACCTTAAGGCTAAAGTGTACCCTCACAAACCCCGAACGTTACTGGAATACCAGAACTTTTAAGAGCGGTTGGAGATGTGCGAGTGCGAAGAAGGGCGACACTTGAGTGACATACTTTACCATAAATTAATTTAAAATTGCACTATTATTACTTTATTTAGCTGTAGTTAAAATAAAATTATCTTAAACATAAAAAATGTTATGCTTACGTGAAAATCATGCGTTTCATCTGCGCCACCCTGTACTAGATCCAAATTAGGTACTAAGCCAGTGCACATTATATCATCAGTTTAGAAATTATTCCACATGCTTCCGCATTAATATGGAGAATGCTGTCTTCTACTTTCGCCCTTTAATAAATCTTTCATTTTACTCAACAATCCTGTTCACCACTCCTATAAATATATACTGATACACATGTTTTGCAAGCGAAATGCTACAAACAAAATTCCATTCCGACATAAAATGCAGAATATACAAACATGCGAGATAGGTGATGTCAGATAAAAAATTATGCGTGTGGCGCACATACGTGCCCCGTTTTTTCATATTTCAAGCATCGCGATTGTCATAAAAATAACTTGCAACTGCAAATATTTGATGGCTCTCGCTGATATACCACGGCCTGGGTTCATCTGCACCTCATGCCAGTGAGTATGAAATAAACAAAGGTAATCTTGATGTAATTCCAAAACAGATGCCAAATTTTAGTAGATGCTTTCCAGGAAATGAAACAACTCGTGGAACAATAAAAAATATATCATTCCGCGTATCCGTATGTATGCAGCATGTTTGCAAAGCTCATGCAAGCATAACCAGCTTACTTACAATCATGCCTAAATTTTATTTTAAGTTGAAAGTGACTTTGATATCTATACATTATGTTCAATGTAGGAATGGGGTGCCAGTGCTATCTGGCAAGCGGTAACGATTAAACATTCACGCAACTTTAGTATTTTTCATATCAAGTTCACAAAATCTTTTTTCTATGTTAAGTTATTTCAACTAAGTAGTTTTTAATTAGTCCAAACTTGGCATTTTGCTTCCCGTGCCAATGGGCCAGAGTCAAGTATTGTAATCTAGAAAAATTTAGAAATCAAAATGTTGGGTATTTCGGATGTTTGTCTTTTGTATTTTGACAAAGACTACTATGACAAAGGCGAAACTTTTTTCTGGATTAGAAATTCGTCCAGTAATGAAGGAGTTACGGGACATCACGAATAAAGGTTAATATTGCTCAATTTTTGTTTTATGACGATTCGATGATCATTTCCTGAAAAAATCTTGAAGCTATTTGGCATTAGTAAGAGACGTTCTAATATCAAGTAGCTCCTGACCTCAGTAATTCTGCAGACCTGCTAGACGTAGTACACTCGCACCTCCAATTCAAGACTGCCGTCACTAATGCCAATATATAAGTTTTGAGACAAAGGGACTTTATTTTATTTTTGTGTTATTTTTGTTACCGTATGTAATAAGTTTTTTTTTTATATTATACTTTATCTCATTTGATGCAGTGATGCATTTGAAGGTTAAAACTCACAATCTGTAAAAATTGCTTTTATGGCAGTATTGAATTGTTTTCTAGACAACAATACGGTAGGCTTTTTCAGAATGATTTAACGCCATAATAATGATGAACTGATGTCATTTTTGCATCTGTCGACTGGCCTATTATACCCTTCTAGAAGTACATGCCTTCCCTTTCGATTTAACACCTGTGTTATTTACAACACGGCCAAGGTTTCAAGATGTAATTTAAAATTAGAGCTGTATTATTTACACGTGGCATTTCTAGGTAAAGCAAAAAGCAAAGGTCTTGCTAATAAATCTTGTAAAATTGTTGAAACTGGTGATGAAAGTTTATGGTATAAAGTGGCGGGAGAAAATTTCCAGGCCACATGAGATTAAATGGAAGGTTATTCATCAAGTGAATAATATTAACGTTTGACTGAATAAAGTTCTGTTTCTTTTTGTTGATTAAAAAGTTGTTAATTTCATCTGTACTACACTGTAGTCATTGCTTTATCTACTATCTACGAGGTATTTAAATATTTCCTAATATTCACTTCTGTTACTGAAGTATTCTCATATTTTTGTAATTTTTTACTTTTACATACGTAGGTACTTATGAACTATATGAATGCAACAAAAAGCTCAAACTATACACTGTAAATCCAATTATAAGGAGTATATTTTTCATGTATCAGTTCAACTTTATGCACAACAGAGTAGCAGATGGGGATTGTTTTGAGAAAATTTTAACCCATCAACCTTACTACAAGGCGACATCGAAATCATTTTCAATGGTCGAAATTCAGTTAGAATCAACTGAGTACATCGCACAATTATCAGCCATTTGGTAATGCTTACATCGTTACTGTTGGTATAAAAAAGACTTCACTCTATTCACGTCCCATTTACGTTGCGACTATCTATATAAAGAAAAGGATCAGGTGGAGAAAGGTATATATACGAGTACATGGGTTATACTAACTGTTCAATAAATACGTTTCATTATTCATGAACATATTACTCGTATCTCTTTAGTGATAGTGCTCTAGCTTGAAAACAAAGCGGTTTGCGGACCCATGTTGATATGGAAATTTCGTCTCCAAATTGACCAAGGATTCGATGGTTAAAGTTTGTCTACATACTTTATTAACACCCTGTATATGGAGATGATCCTTGGGCTTGAAGTATCACGGCAAGTGGCTATAACCCGCCGCGTGGTTGTGGCCCATACATCCGGCCACGGATGTAACCTGAGGAAACGGAGAGGGAATAAAGCGACACACGAAATCACCAACAACAGCCAATCTACACATTGTTGTTTAATGGCCAGAAGACCTCGAATTTTCAAAGCAACATCTAACCACCAGCTCACCAGCTTCTACGGAGCATAACCGTGGCCTAACAGCCAGTTTCAAGTACCTCTCACAGGCGACGGATGCTTGGCGATTTGGCTCTTTTCTACTGATATGCCAACCAGCTTTACATAGTTAACGAAGAAAGTACCTTCTTTGGATCGATTGCTCACGAGAGGCTACGGTCATTCTTAGAACTGAGTAACGCTAGATGCATGCAAATTTATCTCGCATACACCTCAAGTTACATTCGAGGTACGCTCAAAATAGTATATACAGGGTGACTTCGAAGTTGAGTCATTTATTTTAACAGTGAGTAGATCTGATCAAAAGAAATGGTTTTTTCCTTTAACATTTTTCTGGTAAAATTAAAGTAACAAAGTTATAGCCCTTTAGAAGTTTGAGTACCGCCCTGTCTCAATAATAATATTATGTGCTCGTGTTTGGCAACAACGGATATATTGGTTCATCGCATCGGAAACAAAAAAGCGAAAGAATTTGAAACGCTTATCACGATGTTTTTACTACAATTTTATTCAGTTTTATTCAGTCAATGTGTCAGTCGGTAGCGCGTGAGTGAATAGTGGTGTTTGTTGCGTGGCTCAAACGAAATAAAAAATGGCACATGTTTACGAAACTGCTGAACTTGGACGTGGACATGATTCTTATTTATAAAATGCTGCCGCGGCATCGCGGATTTATGCGGATCGGTTTCCCAATCGAGTGCAACCAACCCCTCGTGCCTTTGTTAATGTAGTACAAAGGGCTCGTGAATCAGGTGACTTGAGACCTCACAGGGGAGGGCATGCCGGTGCTCCAAGACCGCACGATCAAATACAGGACCGCACTGAAATACTTATCGGGAGGATACTTTATAAAACAAGGTCACATTTTTTTTTAATTTTTATTTTTACACACATATTTTGGTTTATCTTCCTTCTACAATCATTATCTGAAAATTAATGACTCAACTTCAAAGTCACCCTATATGTATCCATGGTAAGACGGATGCAGGACACGGCTGGATTCGAGATTACTTCAGGCTTCAACCAAAGCCGTCGATTACCCTGGGATCCTAGCTTTCCCTAGTAAATACCGAAGTTGACTAAACGGAATGATGTCAAATGGTTCTCAGCAGCAGTTAACAAGCCTTAATCAATTGTGGAAGTGTCAACTTCCAGATCTTACATCAGATGGAAAGTCGGTGTAAGTCTCCTTTATTCCACCATTTCATCTACAGACTGGATCTTTATTACATTAAACCGTTTTTTACACTGGTTTTTCGCCCCAGTTATCCTACATATAATTTCTGCACCTGGACAACTAAAGAGGTTGTTACGCGCTAAGCTGAAAACTCCTGCCTTGGTATTTACACAGAGCAACTCCACGCGGAGGCCTTGCAAACAATAAACAAACAGTATAAGACCGAGTAAATGGCAAGAGGAGATATTAACGCGGAAGGGGTGGGCATATTCTCATCTGTTTGGCTCTTGAAGGATAAGGTAAAGCCTTGTTTGTTTATGAAAGGATACGCGTTAACATACTTTGGGTTTCGGGGATTATGGGGTGTTTAATCCTCTGGAAAATCTACAGTGTTACTGCCATATTATATAAAAGCATATCAGCAGATGAATAATGACTTCAGTGTGTTTTGAACAAAACAAAAGCCGTATTACATTTAATCATATTAATAATTCAAATTCATTATATTTAATAATCATGAATTGTTTAGTTTAATTTTAGAAGGATTATTTAGAATTGCCCATGTTTTGAAAAAGCGAATTCTTACAAGTATGGTGGTCCCCCTTCCCTCCATTGAAGCGCCTTCTCGATTAAAGTTGGCGACTAAAATGCAATGTTTTCTCTGTCCTGAGCTTGATGGATTAAGTAGTTTTCCGTTTTGTGGGTCCGGTACCTCATATTGGGTAACCATGTGTTTTTCTGAAAACGTTTTCGTCAAGGGAGTCGTCGCGACAGTTTTCTTTAATTCCCTAGATGAGTTTACCGTGCATACGGGTATGTACTCGTACGGGGGGTGCTAAAAAGCCTAAGGTAAATGAGGGAGCGATGCATTGATCTCGGGGAGACGCAATGGATAATCTTCATATCCCGCCTTTCAATTGTCACAAGAAAATTCGCTCTCCAAAGCACTGATGCAGACCCCCTCCCACTCTTCAATTTTCAATTGTCGATGTTGATACAACCAGCTGCTCTTCAGTTGTCAGGTAAAGGCATTCGTTCTCAGAATCAGTGATGCACCCGCCGTTGTTCCTCAATTTTCAATCGGATATATATATATATATATATGTAGGTGAAAAATAAAGCTTCCTCCTTTAGTTGGGTACTTCGACAAAATTCAAACAATGAGGATCTCTAAAAGGAAGGATTTCATCACACAAAAGTGATTCTAGGCTTCATCCCGAGAGATGTGCTCTGGCATCTCATGTCAATCTAACAGGGCACTCCATGAACTACATAAGTATCAAAGTTCTCGATAAAGAAAAACACCTATCCAAACGTATTCCTGGAAATGTCCCACATTTTCATGAATGACAACTGTATGAATAAGAAGACAGATGTTAAGCAACTGTGCGTCATTTACTCATATTTGCTAAACTGCAAAAAGTTGGAGCACTTACACATCTCTCCAAATTTTGACTTTTCACAACCATAAATGGAATCTGGTTCTTTGGTCTATTCCACCCTTTCCCTCCAAAATTTCCATTCCATTCAAATTTGAATAATTGTTTTTTTTCTCATAATACAATAATAATTGTTCAGTTCAATTGTCCATCTCATCAACAATAGTTAGGCAGCAGCGGTGGCCGCAGTAGTAGACTCTTCGGTCTCCTGATCAGTCGCCGTGCGCTGTGCGGGTTCGAGTCCCGTCCCAGGAGAAATTTTTATTTTTCTCTTGGCTATGGATGTTGTGATTGTCCGTAGGTGGTAGACGGTCTCTGACTGTCGAACGTTTAGGTACCATCCGGCGGATCTCGTAGGCGGAGCCAGAATGTGTGCATGTTGCATGCACACGTGTTCCCTCGCCAGAATCCGTGTGGCGTTCCCCTTTCCCCTGTACCCCCCTATAGATAGCCCAACGGTACCCAATGGGTGTTTAGGCCTTAGGCCTTCGTGGTAGTTGGAATATAAAAAAAACAATATAGTTTATTCAACTACCTCTGGTCTGTTGACAAGTTCTTATTTAACATATCTTGATAAATCACACCATCTGAAGTGATTTGGCAACATAGCACACACTTTACAAAAATTTTACTTATGATCCTGTGCCACACCATTTTGTGCAGCATCAGGTGGTTCATGATGTAATTTTAACTTTCGTTCTAAATATTTTTTATCCCTTTTGTTTTGTTCCTGACATACAGCTGTGTGTATTTTATATTAATTTTAACGAATGTACCATGTATCCAGCTTTCACCAGGCTGCTAAATGTTTCCCTCAACTTAAACGTTAATAACATTTAGCAACCATCTTACATACTATTAATTTAAAATCATTTTGCACAATACATGCTATTTCTTCTCAATGTTATTGCAGCTCCTGATGAAGATGGCAAAGTCCATTGAAAGCTAGAAACTAATATAATAAAGTATAAAGAGTCCTCATTACTTGAATGTTGTCGAAGTACCCAACTAAAGGCGGAAGCTTTATTTTTCACCTAACTGGTCTAGACGACAATGACCACATCTCAAAAAATATATATATATATATATGTACATACATATAATTTTGGACCTAAATATTATATGAGGTTTCATTTGGCTGCCAGCAAAACATGGCGATTTATCAATTCTTTTCAGAGCAAAAGTGAAAAAAAAGTATAAATGCAGCTTTCACCTGGGTACAAAATATTGAATATGAATTCAAAATTCTATATAGTTTTAAAATGCAAACTATGTAAAATATACAGTTTTTTGGTATTTGTTATATGTATGTGAATGCTCATAATAAAATACAACCTGTGGGTAGTTTGAGCAGATATTCAGTTATATAGCTGATACGGTATGCCATTTCACACTAACCAGCGTGAAAGAAGTCGAAGGTTCCCTAACCTCAAATCTTCGTAAATTGCTATGTGAACACCTCACAGCTTGAGGCCCTTATCACCTCATTTAATGCGCTGAAATACGGCCACGGAAAAAGGATGCACTTGCACATTTCCTGCACCTATATATTAGAAAACATTTTTAAATGATTAAACACTGTCACTGTAAATGAATAGATGACTTGCTAGGTTCTGACCCGTGTGACCTTCCGTGATTTCGTTCCACTACGATAATCATTTCACCACAGGAGGCCAACTGATTCAGAAAACCCATTTCTTGCGAGAGTCGTGTTAGATTTCATTTATTTACCCAAATAATGTTACACTTAGCATACGAGTATACTCTCCAGACTCCGGGAAATAATTTTGGTATATCCATTTATCTAAAACAATTGATTCACCTGAAGATAGCTAACCATATATATTGCGGTGTCCAAACAGGGGTCTGAAAGATACTAGCGCCCTCTATGAGATAGTAGCAGAATACAAAACTGGATTTAGAAATCTACTTTACCAAAAGTTAAAGTATTTGGTTCTGTTACTGTCTTATAGATGATAGTATACGATCAATTCTTTTGGCCTCTCTAATGCGTATTAGAATTGGGTATTGTCAAGTGGAATACGTCAATAAATGCCTGATGGATGAATAGATGGTGCTAGTATCTTTCAGGTCCCTTTTTGGATGCCGGAATACAGCGCATAGTTGTCTATATTCAGGTAGAATAGTATAATCAAAGTTAAATCGAAATTTTCCCTTACATACTCGTATCTTTACCCTGTAGTCTAATCATATTAGCAAATTTCCCCGAAATAATAAGTGCTAGCAGAAACGAAAAAACTTTTCATATAAGATTTTTAGGTTTTTATAAGTCCTACAAAATGAGAGCACACGTAAAAAGATCCGACGAATAACAAAAATGCTATGGCCGAAAAACCAGACAAAATGCAGGTTTTGGCACTTTGGTAATGCGATGATAATTTCACGCAACTGCTTGAAATTCTTCAAATCCGTAGGATTCATACTTCTTAATAACAACATCAAAATTGGAGTATATTGGTCAAGCAGTGTTTTGAAAATTTCTAATTGTTTATCCCAAAACAACTGTTTTCTGGCCACCATTACTAGTTTATTGAGCAATATACAGGGTTCGTTCAAAGAGCATTTAATAGCAAAATACACGTATTTACCTTGCCGATATGAATCACAAACCATTCGGAAAGATAAGTATTATTTTTATGCGAAATACGAAGGTTACGTTTTTTCTTCTAAACAAATGCAAACATTTCGTATTTGTGAGTAATTGAACAAATGAGCTACGATACTCGAAAAACATACATTACTATAAACATTTTAAGACAAAGCCGATGTGTTTTATCATCTTTTGTTGCGAATTACTCACAAATAGGAAATGTTTGAATTTGTTTAGGAGAAAAAACGTAACCCACCTTTTTTGCACAAAAATTACATTTATCTTCCGGAATGGTTTGCGATTCATATCGGCAAGGTAAACTAGTGTATCTTGCTATAAAATGCCCTGTATATTGCTCAATAACCTAGTAGAGATGGCCGGAAAACAGGTGTTTTGGGATAAACAATTAGAACGTCTCAAAAACTACTTGACCAATCTACTCCAATGTTGTTGTGGTTATTTAGAGGTACGAATCGTACGAATTTGAAGAATTTCAAATATCTGCGAGAAACCATCGTCGCATTACCAGTGCCAAAACCTGCATCTTGCCTCGGTTTTCGGCCATAACTTTTTTGCTATTGATGCAATCTTTTTACGTGATGTCTCATTTTGTTGGTCTCATAAATACCTAAACATCTTATATAAAGAGTTGTTTCGTGCCTGCCAACATTTCCAATTGGATAACAAAAAACTTTGTTGTCGAATAAAAAGTTTTCCCACAAAGATTGGTGTACCCATTTTATGCGTCCATGTTTTGAATACCCCCTGAAACAACTTGCAGCAATAAAACCAGACTTTACAATTATTTCGCAAACCAGGGGTATTTTCGTCTAATATGATTAGACTACTATATCTTCTATATGAACAATGTTAGCAATTGTCCATGGCGTGGGATAGAAACTGCGGACATCACTATAAAAGCATGAACAATATAATAATAAACTTCTTCATTTATAACAATAAGCTATGGTACAAATTGAAATATGTGATCCTGATTCAACCATTCAGGAAATCTCTCCTCGAAACAGTTATTAAATGCCTATTCCATTTCGTCCCACCATCATGCGAAACTAGTGCGACGAAAACTGTCAAAGTTAAGATTCACAAAAAATTAGTTCTTTAGATCGTGTACCGACAGTGTTTAAATTTCAATTTCGAAGGTTCTCCTTTTACGTACAATTTGAATTCAAATTTTCTACCCTAAGAAGTACGAAAGTTTTTTTAGTTCCTGAATAACCAGGAAGCGAAAGATGCAAGTTTTGCCGCTGAACGTCTCTCCATGATTAGTACTATCACTGAGGCTAACATCAAGTCACTACGTAGTAAGAATAATATATAGGACGCAAAAGCTCACACCTGTTTTGTATATGCTAATCTTGTCTCTTTTTCTTCCAGTTACAACACCTAGTCCACCTCCGAGACCTTGGATACCTCTAGCTAGGCCAACAACAAATAGACCAACATGTAAGTTTTATAGTTTTATCCAACATATACTGTAAAGAATATTTAATGGCTCTCATTTCAACGTTGTTCATAGTATTTATATTGTTATATTATTTACGTGTGTTTCATGTACGCTAAATAATCGGATTAAATAAAACATACATTTTAAAAAATCGCGACTTGATACGGTTGATCAGATTATCTTGTATCATAGCTAAAAATACTAACGATTAAGTTACTTTTCAAGCAAAAGAAGGATAAAATTCATCCGTTTGGGTAACACGGTGACACGGGGTAATATATCTATTATATCATGTTTAAACAAATAATAATGAGAGATAATGTATCGGTATCCGTGTTTCTTAAAAAATCGGAACTCTATTTTGTTTTAACACAATTACTTTGTAGATACGCACTGAGGGACTATTGTGACTTTTCATTGTGCCATTATTATTTTCGAAACACTATTCCGCGTTACGGAAAATGCAATTTAGAAATGTATAATTAAAAATATATCATCGTACTACGGCAAGTTGTTATGCCTAGGGCTCTCACCAGTACGAGTATGATCCATCAATGAACTCCAGTTCACAAAAATTTAAACATTTTTTAGAAAAAAAATTTGAGAATATTAAAAAATGGTACCCTGTACTAACTTTTTCTCTGCCACATTTCCAAATTTCTTGTATATATTTCAAAAAAACAAATGAGTTCTCACACAACGATTTTTTTCACAAAAAAAATATTTTATTCATATCTCAGTAAATAAATAATTTTGCTGAAATTACGGATGATGAAAAGGCAGGTGTACAGCGATACAAACTAGGCTACGCATCCAGGTCCCATTACCTTCAAACAAAATATTAATCGCTTCTATTTCTCCAAAAGTTACAACTCAACTGGGAAGTTGTGATTTATTTTATCGAGAAAAAGCTTATCTCCCTTTCTATCTATCTCTCTCTCTCTCTCTCTCTCTCTCTCTCTCTCTCTCTCTCTCTCTCTCGCTCTCTCTCGCTCTCTCTCTCGCTCTCTCTCTCTCGCTCTCTCTCTCTCTCTCTCTCTCGTTTTTTCATTAATTATCTTTATTGATAACTAACGCTTCGACCAAATCAAGGTTCTATTTTGTTGGTACTAATTCTCTTTTTCATACATAGTTTAATTATTATTAACCCACCCAATATCCATTATCCATAAAAGACTACACAAAGATATTTTGTTTAAGCAATAACACAACGGTAAATCATATCGAATACCATTTCTGGACATCTTAAATTCATACATTCTGTATAAGTAAGAGTCCTTCTTGGGATTATTCTTTCATTCTGACTTATTTCCAGGTATTTTTACTGTGATGTGTTACAACGTGCTGTGCGACAAATACGCAACTCGGCAGATGTACAGCTACTGTCCGAGTTGGGCATTAGCTTGGGAGTACCGGAAAAAGGGCATCCTGGAGGAGATCCGTCACTACGGCGCCGACATCATCAATCTGCAGGAGGTGGAGATGGAGCAGTTCTACAACTACTTCCTACCCGAGCTGAAATCTGACGGCTACAATGGGATCTACAGTCCCAAATCTAGGGCAAAGCACATGGCGGAGAGCGAAAGGAAATACGTCGACGGCTGCGCCATTTTTTATAGGGTATCCAAGTAAGTAGCGAATTGTAGCAGACAAAACAGATTCGTAAATAATGCAAACGACAGCTATAACAAATACTAGGGTTGATCCATATGTTTCGCCTCTAACTCACTTCCAATGATGCTACATATCTTTTTTTATTTGTCTACATAGTTCCTGACAAATATCAAATTTGGATTTAAAGCCTGCTTGATGTAGGGTAATCATAGAAATGCAAGAGGGACGACTGGTGGCATTATCCTGATGAAGCAGTCGCCACTTTTCAACTGCCGCAACATTTCTTTTCAGAATCATCTCGCATTTTTCAATTTTTGCATAATAGACCTTTGTTATGCTTACTACACGTCCGTCCTGTAACAAACACCGTACTATTCCTCATTGTCTGTCAGAGCGGTCCGTAGGACCTTTGCTCTTGGTTGAAGTCTTGTAAGTCAGTAGGTCTGTCAGGTCTGGTTTCCCAGATACCAAACAAAGTCAAGGAGAAAGAAGGGAAGAAGAAAGGAAGGAAGTAAGGAGGGAGAGCAAAGAAAAAAGAAGTGCATCCATTTGAGGGGTGCCTTGGCATTGCTAGTTAGTATTCGGCAATTTTAAATTGATCCTAAAATTAATTTTGGGGTTGCTTGTTGAAGAAAAATTATAATTTTAGTTGGACCTAAAGTCGCACGATATAATTTTGTTCACAGTGCGAGTCGCGGCCTTGTGTGCTTGCGAACTTGCTCGACTGTCTAGTCTACTGACTCGCGCAACAAAGGGTTGTTATGCGATTCTGCTTGACTGTAACGTAGCTGCGCTTGTTGTTTGATGTAGTCCCTTAGGTAAGGGGTGTCAAGGTCTCTGTGAAGGGTCTCGTTGGAAACATACCATGGGGCGTTAGTGAGTGTACGCCCTTGCAGAACAGAACCTTTTCTGTTCTGCAAAACCTGCAGGCTACGCAAATGCGTTTTGGCGAGAAAACACCAAGCCGCACTTGCGTAAGTGATCACTGGTCTAATAACCATCTTGTATAGCAGAACTTTGTTGATCAAACTTAATTTTGATGTTCTACATAGCATATGGTAGAGTTGCCGAAACGAGATTTGGAATTTAGTTTTTAACGCTTCAGTGTGCTTCTGCCAGGTTATCCCCTTGTCAAGAGTGACACCGAGATACTTAGCAGAGCTTTCCCATGATACCAGAGCTCCATTCACTGAAACCTCAGACGGGGCGCCGCTACGTTTTTTAGTACAATAGATTGCCTGCGTTTTCGAATGATTAATTTTGATCAGCCACCGATTCGCCCATTCCAATACCTCGTCCACTGCACTTTGCAGCCTGTCGTGAACTAGATCCCCAGAGCACGACTGGGTCACCAGGGCAGTGTCATCAGCATAGAGATAGGTTTCACAGCTGCTGGGGCAAGGGACGTCATGAATAAAAAGTGAATAAAGGACTGGTCCAAGAACCGAACCCTGAGGGACACCGGCTTTGATGGGCCGTGTTGTCGAAAGAACGTTATTAATTTTCCGAAATTTCCTTCCCTCGAGAAAGGATTTCAAAAGTTTTAGGAGCCAGAAGGGGAAGCCCTTATGGATCAATTTGTAGAGAAGGCCCTTGTGCCACACCTTGTCAAATGCCTTTGAGACATCCAGTAACAAGATGCCAGTACTTTCGTGAATCCCCTGGTTACTCGTTCAACAAGCCTTATGGCCTGTAGCTCGGTACTATGCTCAGGCCGAAAGCCAAATTGCACTTCAGGAATCACATTGTGGTCTGCCGAGAAATTTTCAAGGTGACGTAGAATCACCATTTCAGGGAGCTTAGAAGTAGACTAATGGGGCGGTAATCCTGGGGGAATATCGAACCCACCTTCTTTGGAATCATTATGACATCAGCGGTCTTCCACGCCGTTGGGAAGTGCTGGGTCCTTAGCATGGCATTGATTTTATTGCCACTAGATAAGTTAAGGACTTCCGCGAAAGTAGCTTCAGCGCCTTATTAGGGATTCGATCCTCTCCAGGTGCTTTACGCACCTTGAGGTCTTTAATATGACCTAGGAGCTCTGCTGGTGTGCAATGCGGAGTCTCAGGAGATTCCGCTGATGTGCCGTGCAGCTCTTCAATTGAATCTTCTGAAGATTCCTCTGAGGAAAAATCACTAAGGGAGGCACTACTGCCACTGACGCCGCTGGCCCTAAAATATCTCCTGACGGATCTTACAATATGTTGCTCCTCGTCGAGGTCATTATCAAGGTCATAGTTGTTCTCGCTTTCCGATTCTGAGCGACTTTGCAACTTTCCAGAGAGGAATACTTGAGTCAAGCATCCCCGACAGAAAGTCGCTCCATTGCTCATTACGGAATTCATGAAGAGCATTTCTCACTTCATGAACAAGATTCGTTGCTGTGAATGTCATCTGGGTGACAAGACCTCTTCCCTTGCTTAATTGCAGCTCTTTTGTCAGAAATTTACTGACGAATGTCTGCAGGGAGAAAACGTCTGCCGTGTCGTCGTACTGGTAGTACACCTGCACGCTGCAGAGCTTGCTGAACGGAACTTGTCCACTCCGCTTGAGCAGCATCTATATCGTTCTCATCATCTATGATCGGGATATTGGGGAACTCTCTAAGGAGCGACTTGTATAGCTCCCAATCAACACTTTTCCTTGGAAGAGTTTCCCCTTTAAAGGTTTGCTCATTACCCACTTCCAGTACGATAGGAAGATGATCGCTTGAAATGTCATACATGATTCGAGAAGTGACACTGAATCTACAGTTTCTAGATATCGCGAAGTCAATGACATCTGGTGCCTGAAGGTGATTAAATGGGTGGTGAGTCGGCTCCTCAGTGCTGTGTATGAGGTAGCCGTTTCGTATCACATGGTTGTAAAGTCGAATCCCACTGGTGGAATTTAACCTAGAGTGCCATGCTCGATGTTTACAGTTAAAGTCCCCTGCTACAATAAGCGGACCCGAGCAGTCAAACAGGACTTCCAGATCCGTCTCTTGCAGCCTGGCACCACATCTGACATAAACCGATGTGATTTTCAACGAGATACCTCCCGTCATATTCACTACCACGGAAGTTGCCTCGATGCTCTGCATCTCAGCGTTTGTGCTTCTGTAATAGTCAATACCGCGTTTTACTAGCACTGCCAAACCGCCACCATGTCCAGTTAATCTATCAGCGCGGATAATACCATAATTCGGGAAAGCTAGACGATCTCCCGGATTAAGCAATGTTTCCTGCAGCAAAGCTACATCTACGTTCTCATCAAAGAGCTTGATGAAATTCCCGTTTTTTGGGGACATCCCTAAGACCCAAACAATTCCAGAAAAGAATTTTGATGAATTCAGGCTGTCTGCTATTGTACCTAGCCATTTAGCGGAAAGATCGCCTGCAATGCCTTAGTGGCGCTTATCAGGGGACTAATAATCTGCTGTAAGGACCTGTGCGCTGTTGCTAGGTCCACATTTTGAGTAGTCGTAGATGAGCTCGAAACAGCAGGGGCAGTTGAGGTGTCATCTCTTGCTGCGTCCGCGTTGGACTTTGCTCGCCTTTGCGCGATGACTTGTAGATTTCTCCTAGGAGTAAATCTACAGGTCGGACTATTTGCCGGATGGTCCCCCAGACAGTTCGCAGATCTGCGAACCTCTTGTCCTGTTTGAGGGCACATATGTGTCATGTGGTCTTGGGCACATTTTAGACACTTTGGCGGCGCAGTGCAATACGACTGTGCGTGTCCATACTTCTGGCAGCGGGGACACTGCCCAATGAGTCGAGAGTTCTTCTGAACTTCGACTCTGATAGAGAGCCCCAGCAATTCGTGCTCGTTGAACACTTGCTGTGACTTCTCCGTCTTAGGCAGGATCACCACCACCTAGGGCATGGGCACGCCGCCGTTCCACTTTAGGCGAATGATGTCGTAAAAGGGAGCTTAACTCTTCTGTTCTAGCTCACCTTTGACCTCCTGTTCGGTGGTTGATGCTGGGATACCTCTGATAACCGCATGGATGTTGCATTCAGTGGGCAAAGGGAAAGTGTGATGAGGAATGTTTTCCTCTTTGAAACAAACACCGTATCATGCACCTTCTTAATATCAGTCGATATCCTTACACTGCCAGTTATTTTCCACATGACATCTTTCCACGCTAAAAACCTCGTCACCAAAATTTGCTTATATCATAACCCAAACAAATCCTAGAATATTTTGATGAATTGTGAGCGCTGTACCTAGGGATCCGAAGGATATAAATTCAGAAATTCACCGCCGCTGCAAGCAATACTTTTAATTATAATTGTTTATTTTATCGAATTATTTTTAAGAAGGTAATTTATATGTTTATATGGGATCATTCCTTTTCAGATTTACGCTAGTGAAAGAATATTTAGTAGAATTCAATCAATTGGCCATGGCTAACGCGGATGGTTTAGAACACATGTTGAATAGGGTAATGCCAAAGGATAATATCGGATTAGCAGCTTTATTACAAACTACAGAAGCAGCATGGGAAAACAGTGAGTAATATATAGTTTTCACAACAGAGCTATAAGGCTCTCCCATGTGATTTAACACATATTTATGTTTGGTACATAATATTAAGTATAATTAGGGTAAAACAAAATAAAGGTTACGATGCTTTTGGTTGATTTTACAAATAGCCATTACTGATACTAAACTTCTCCGTACTACTTAAATCATAGTACTGTTGAGAGAAATTCTACTCATATGGTCGATATGCGCTTTTATTTTTTTGACGGATGAAACAAGACATTTTTAAATATCAAATATTTGATCTAATTTTGTCTAAATAGAGCAGCTAAGCTGACCTTAAAAATACACTACGACAAATACCGAATCACACCCCTCCAAAATTGTTTCCAGGATTTTCTGAAGAATTGTTTGTTAGCAAATTAATATCGAAGCATAACATTAATGTAGAAATGCGGAATCCTCTCAATTTCCATTAGAGTAACCTACCGTCGAACTTCACATTATTCATTCCTTTGAAGATGCGTACATTGAAAGTGAAATTCCTTCTGCTGAAAAATAAGCTTCAAAACTGTTTATACGTGTCCCTTCGACCCTGTATTTGAGTGAGATCCTATCCCTTAACATGGAGGAGGGAGGAATTCGGATTAAAATCATTTCAAAGCAAAGAGAGGAAGCATAGTTTAATCTCATACTTGGGTGCACCTGGTTTCTAGAAAAATATACATAGTTAATAAAACAGCTATAATTGCTGTTTTAGGATTAAAAGTTTTATATTAAGATTGTGATTCGTAGATCGAATCGATTCTGGATGATATTTCCTAGCTCTCCATTTTATCAACCCCTTACAAAGTACTATAAACAGCTACCAAGAAGCTAGTAGATCTCAACGACGTATATTAAATTTAAATGAAAACAATATATATATATTAGTTTGAAAACATGTAGTTTGTTTGATAGATATTTAGTGACAGAAGCAGCTTAAAAGAGAGAATATGTAATTGAAATACATAAATAAAAGTAAAGTAATTTTACGCTTGATGTCAGTTTATTAAAAACTTTTATGCCCATGTACTATGAAGATGCGCGTAGGTTTGCGTCACATCTGCAGCTAAATTACTTATTTTATAAGTCCATTACATTACATAGTACATACCCACATACATTAATTACATGAATTACGTCAATACTAAAACGTGTTTTACTGACTCATCATCTTCATTGAGTGATTAAACTAGTTGCGCCAAAGGATCTTATTTCATGCAACAAAAAATCACATCCACACTTTGTTTTTTAGGTTCTGCGGATGCTGTATTCCTGCAACAACCTATCTTAGTATGCACGGCACACATTCATTGGGACCCAGAATTTTGCGATGTTAAACTCATACAAACCATGATGCTATCTAACGAACTCAAGTCCATACTCGATGAGTCTGCACAGACGCTCAAAACGAGGGATCTCTGCACAGATCCTAGTAACATACAATTGGTAAGGCAACAAAACAATAGCATTAAAGAACACCCAGATGTATTCCCCAGCGCAGTGAAATACTAGATATGATACCCATATTCATATTCAAAATTTAAACCTTAGTGCTTATAAAAAGAGTCCGATGTATTTATGTAGTGCCATATATAATAAATTTCCTTTAGATATTAAACAGATTATCAGCTTATCTTTGTTAAAAAGTAAACTCTGGAAACTCTTACTAAATAAGGCATTTTATAGTATAGTAAAAGAATTTATGTGGGAGTAACACGTTATGCTTATATGTGTTTCTGTATCCTAATTCTCTCATGTCATGTATTACTTATCCACACCTTTCCTTTTTATTTTGACGTTTTGAATCCTATTCACAAGCTCACACAAATGAAGCATTATTCTATTCTATTCTATTAAAACACACTCCACATTTTAACCTATTCAAACGTAAACGTAATGTCAATATCTTATTATTCCATTCAAAGCAGAGTCACAAATAAATTAATGTTAAGTTACTCCAAATGAGATGTTTCCAAATCTCACTCATTATAAGGCCACACTATTTTGACGTTCCAAAGAATTCGATTTCCATAATTCCAATTTTTTTATCATCATTTGTTCTTTTTTAAACTCACCGCTCCTAGGTTCAGACCCTATAATAACGAGTTACCATACATCGCAATTGAATCGGGATGGTGAATTCTATGAAATGTCGTTTTATGTTCACACAAGTATAACTCGAAACTAACTCGGGATTTATATACTAACTGTAAATTCAATATCCCGTCTTATTCAAGTTTGTCGTACATTAACAAAACAAAATTGCTTATAATTAACACCGTTCCCATATTACGATCATGAAGCCTTATTCTGGTTAGCGAAATACCCGGCATTTTCCCGGAGTTGTGGATCTACATTTTGAAAAATTAATTTTCAAACACTTACCTGGCCGAAATTTAGTAATATTTTAGCACACATTCCAAGTATTGATTATCATCATTTTATTGTTCTGAATGTTATACTATTATTTTTTCAGGTATTATGTGGTGACTTCAACTCGTTACCTGACTCAGGGGTGATAGAATTTTTGGGTATGGGCAGGGTATCGCAAGATCATAAAGATTTCAAAGATTTGAGTTACAAGTCCTGCCTGGAGAAGATTCTCAGCTGTGATAAACCCAATGAATTCACGCATTCCTTCAAACTAGCATCTGCGTACAATGATGAGATTATGCCATTTACCAACTACACGTAAGTAGTAAGAAACTATAATTATTGTTCATCCAATATTATTGTGATAAGGACCTTTGCAAAATTTGTAACCAAAACTTTGCGGTTGGTTACAAATTTACTATTACTGGTATACAAATAAAACCAGTGATGTATGTCCTTGGCTTGGCGATTCGCTCATACGTGTGTCGCCGAGCTGCCACAAAATATTTATAACACGATACATTTATACTAAGCAGAATGGAGTTAAGTTCTTTTCAAGGTTGTTTCGTCAAAAAGTTATACGAAATAAATAAATATATGGCCTTAAGGTCGGGCTATCTAGATAACTCGCGACCATCTCAAATAGACCGACCTCTGGTCAAATAAGCAATTCGATGCTAAAAAGCTCTTGAATTTCAAACTGACGTACTTGTTTTATTACTGAATTACTATCCTTACAATTAATAAATGTCCACACAAAAGTAAAAGATGCGTTCACTACAAGTGATGGTGAATGAATTCATCCAAAAAGGATTATCTATCTAGCAACAACGCATTTATTTCTCTACTAAATGAGAACAGTCGTACTTGGACGTTATCAGCTGTTTTGTGAACATCAGTCATCTCTTAACGCACTCTTTTTTTTTCGCCTTGTCAGTCTCCTCTTTATACGCTGAGAACCAAATTTGTCTGACAGCTTTAGTTCAATGTGTGCAAAAAGGAAGTATGTTAGAAAGAGATATAAGCCGGCTATATAGCGAATCTCATCACCGGGTTGCCTAGCAACGCTGACGTGGCAATCTCCCGCATTCCCAATATGTCACACCAGTTCCTTGAATTAAGATGCATGTAGAAAATATGCGTTAGTTTATTCTCCTCGCCCAAATAATGGTTTTATTTTAAGCATTCACATTTTTGAATTGTGTCGAATCTATTTAGGATCAATTCCGGATCGGTCCTAACGGCGCTTAGATCGAAATGAAAGGTCAGGTTTGCCACAAATTCTGCAACATTACATCATTTTTTCGCCTGGTAACACCGCATCTCGTACATTCCAAGGCAAGGTTTCCACCTCTATGATCATAGATGAGCGTACACGTGGGCAGTGATATTTTGTATGGCGTAATGGTATTTCTTACATTTTCTGCTCGCTGTCGTAAAATGTAACAATAACTCAGCCTGTGTCGATTTTATCACCATCGGTGAAAATCAAAGATTATTCTAAAATAAATGAAAGCAGTGTCGCATCAAAATTGAAATAAGCAATTGTATCAAAATGAAAACAAAATATTAAATTGAATGTTCGAACAGACCTCCTTCTTGGGTTTGATAGTAACCTAAACCTATTATAGAAGCCGGTGCGAACATTTTCTGGTGTAGCCGTCAGACAAATTTGGTTTTCCCTGTATAGGCACTCTTTAGTCAAAGAGCTGTTATATAAAGAATAAAGGAACAGTGGAGTCGGTAGGATTTAATTTGCTTTTAACGGTAGATTCTGTAAGTTGATTGACAGCTCGTGCTGTGGACTGACTGGTTAGGTCAACTCCACGTATTGGAGCAGATGCGGGTACACGCCGGCGCCCATTTTTCCGTTCTCTCAGGTTTTTGTTTAATAAACATACTCGCTGTTATGGATGCGTCCATCAGAAAAATCGTATACAGGTTTCTGTCCTCGCACGGTGGTACCGTGGTAAGCACCTACAAGTCGACGTGGTGCGTGGTGCGACTGGAAAGCCATCAGTTGGGGCATCAAGCAGCTTGAACGAACAAAGGAATAGTGGCGTGAATTTGCCTATAACAGGCAATCCTGAAAGTTATTTGACAGCTGGCATTGTGCACTAATTGCTTAGGTCGACTCCACGGAATGGAGGAGATGCGAGTTCGTAACCCGCCGGCGCCCATTCTTTCCTTTCAAGTTGTTTACTAAACATGCTCGATGTTACGGTTGCGCTCATCCGAAATATCGTACACAAACGCATTGTTTATTTATTTTATAATGTACCCCTACAAGGCGTTAGGTAATACGCGTACGATTTTTTGGATTTTTAGAACAATAAAAATAAGAAGTCCGTACGGAGACCCTCTGCGAAGATACTAGCTCTTAAAATATTTTATTGAAAAGAGATGTCTTCTTTAATACAGAGCAGATACCATTTTAACTTCAATGACATATTATACTCTAGATGAAACACATCATGAAACTCCTACATTTGAAGAAAGAATTACATTTCATTATATTTTTTGCAGTTTTGACTTCAAGGGTATCATTGATTACATCTTCTACGCTAAGAACACAATGACTCCGTTGGGTTTGTTGGGTCCGTTGTCGCTGGAGTGGTTACAACAGAACAAAGTGATTGGCTGTCCCCACCCGCACGTGTACTCAGATCACTTCCCCCTTCTCGTCGAACTCGAAATGGTCCCCACCATCACGTCTGCCTCCATCAATGGCGTTGTTGGGCATAGGTAAGTTTTTGGCATGGATTGCAGATTTGGAATTTAGACCGGCTGGTTTTAAAAAAAAACAGGGTGAATATGAAATCATCATTCATTCGGAAGGTGTTGGAATTACGTAAAGCTATATAAAATTGAGAGAAGGGAAAGAAAAAGCTAGTGTTGGAATCGGATCGATAACTTCTGCCATTTATGGTATGCCCCTGTGTACGAAATTCTTCAGATCTGAATCGTCTCGTACTATGCACGATAATACAGCTTTGGATGTCGACTATTTACAAGTAATATTTTCCTAGACACGAGAAAGCTTTTAAAATATCGTTCTGGCAAAAAACTGGGATTAATACTATCTGCCTTTATTGTCGAAGAATAAAATTTTTCGAGAATACTGCATACTCACCCTTCCATCACCAAGTATCCTACCATGGCAGCTTCGCAGCATTTCATCATGGTGGATATATCAACCAGAGATATTTGTCTCATGCCACTTCTTGATGATTTTTTTTCTTTGTCTATTTTTGTCGTTGTATAGGTACCTTGAACCGTTATTCTACCTACTATTAGTTGAATTGCAACTCATTTGCTATCACTTGACGTTCCTGAGAAAACTAACTGTAATGAGCCAACACATGCGTCAATTAGAGTTGTATCTGGTAGGTCTCTCATATTGCATATTATCTGTTTGTGAAGTTTTCATAGCATCCATAAGGTATAATAATCTATCCATGACTAATTGTTTCCCCATTTTCCTTACTGTCTAATGAATAGACCCTTTCTGCATCTTTAGCTGCTATACCTTTTCCGTATACCAGACATCTCCACTCAATCAGCGAATGTAGGCACTGATTAAATACAATCCGACTTTTTGGACATTTGAACATTAGCTGCCTATGTGCTTATACTTCATTCTCAATCCCTTACCATAAATGGGGGTTCCATCCAGCATAATCGAGTTTGCCACTCCTGTCAGAACCATACTGAGGCCTTTCTCAGATGGTATTATTATTATTGGAGATTCAACGGCCTTGTTTGCAATGGTCACAGGTGCGCCTTATGTCTACATACTTGATCGCATTTTTCCAAGCAGTCAGACATCATCGTTAACAGGGAAAAGCAGCTATGCGCTCTTATAACTATGGCTGTACGGAACGCATTCAACGTAGCATCCAAAGGCGAAATCGTTAGCAAGCTGAAACACATTGTTTCAGATGGTGGTGTTTGCGCCTGCTTTTGAGTTACTTGGATTACCGCAAAATCAGGTAGGGATCATCGGATAGAGATGAACTCAGGAGGGCTCGATTCTCGGACCTACACTGTGGAATGTCCTATAACAACGGTTTGATAGAACTAACAATGTCACAAGGTATGACGCTTATAGTCTACGCGGATCATCTCGCTGTAGTGGTCGTCGTCAGAGGTGAGGTAGAGCTGGAACAGAATTTTGACTGGACTATCGAAGAGGTCAGATGTTGGCTCAGAGGCAGGTTCATGTCCTTAGCCCCAGAAAAGACGAAAGCAGTGAGGAAAAAGGGGAAATTACAGCAAATATCTTTTCTTGGTAGATGGACAAGAGGTTCGACCAGGGAAAGCTTTAACATACCTTGGCGTATGGATTAACTGTAGGCTCACTTTGGGGAGCATATAAGGACGGCGACCAAGGCTGCAAATCTAGTCGCACTTCTATCTAGACTGATTCCTAGCATTGGTACCCATAGACCTGGCAGTCGAAATAAGAAGGCAGGTGCCAGAAGATCCCACTAACTTTGGAAGACAAGCAGCGTACGATCATCTGATGAGAAGCTGTCAGCAACGATGGCAAGTTACCACTAAGGGTCGCTGGACGAGGGCACTGATACCAAATCTGGAGGCATGGTTTGAAAGGGAGCATGGCGAAGTGGACTTCTACCTAACCCAGCTATTGACAGGACTCGGGTGTTTCCATGCGTATCTGAACATATTCCATTTGCCACGATTCATCCTTTCAGATGTCCCAGAAGGGAGGTAGATAGAGAGGAATGCAGCCGGTTCTTAGGCACGAAAGTCACCCTGGACAATATTGTCAACACGATGATGCACATTCTCTTGACAACTCCACTGCTGTCACGAATATGGCAAGAGGCATACTAGCCAGGAGAATGATAGAGGTCAAGGATATGCGGAGCCTCGTACCAGATCGATACATGTCAGAGGACTAAACAGATAGGAACGAACAAATCAGTTCACACAAATGGGACGAAAGGATCGACACACTCAACCTCCTCGAACTCCTATTCCCGTTGATCCGGGAAGGGAGACGTAGGGCGAAAGAAGAGGGCGATAGAAGATGAAGATGATGAAGAAAACGACAGCCTGCGTGCGAGAAGATCAGCGGCAGTTCCAGCACGTCAGGAGGTTCGTAGACGCGCTCCAGGTTGCGGCCTGGCGACGGTCTTAAAAAAAACTTGTTCGCATTTAACTTCAAAGTTCAACATTCTTAACATTAACTGCGAATGAGGTCGACTTGTGTCTGCCAAAAGTATCCGTATGCCCATGAGTCAACGCAATTTTCTTCCATGCATATCCTACTGATTCAATAAAAATGGTTTTTTTGACAGGAGAAAGGTTTTGTAGCCAGTCTCAGGCAAAAAAGCTCGACAGTATTGCCCTGTCCGCCTTTCCTGCCCATGAGAGTGTGACTAACATTATTCGCCTCACCATTGCTTAAATATAATAATAATAATAATAATAATAATCGTCTTTATTGACCAAAAAACATGGTACATTACATGGGGCGAGATTTATTTTTATTTTTTTACCCTCAATTCCAGCTGTCTGGTAGTCGATTCATTTACTACTACTCGAATAGATCCGCAGTATCCTCTTCATCATTACAACGCAGTTTGCGTAATCTCTCTTTCCTACTCTCACGAGGTAGCTGTTAAAGTATCTATGTCCCGTGAGAAACTCCGCAGGGTTCGCACCGCTCCCTCGCCAAACCAGGTTTTAATATGTTGATCATGCGCCATATTCAGTTGCATCCCATCTTTCCTGTCATCTAATGCACCTCTCTTTCGGCGTCTCCAGGTTCAGCTTCCTTTTTGTAAACTGCGCATCCCTCCTCAGCTAGCACATCAATTGGAGGGACATCCGCCACCACCAGCAGTGCAAGCCTATAGTTTTGCAGACTGCAAATAATTTGGTATTAAGATATATAAAATAATTTTCCAAAACTACTTGTATCACCTAATATCATATCACACTCATATTATTAAAAATTGATGTTCATATAAATAAGTTGATTGTTTTTCTTAGTCCACAGTCGATAATTCTATGAAGCATTCATTGCGGCGTAATATTCGACGATTTTACTGCAAGTATTCCAGTGCAATCTTATAGACACACCTTTCGGCGGGTTGCGTACCAATCAATAATTTCTATCTAGGAATGGAATGTTCGCACAACTGATGTTAAATTTTAGCAAAAAAATCAACTGGCGCCTCAAAACGTAATACTAGATTTCTCAGTTTTAAGATTCTACTTTAAGTTGGTATCAGCGTGACAGGCGAATGCAAAATTTCTTCAAAACCGGCAGCTACATAACCACATATTACATGTCTAGCAACAATGAAATTGGACTGCATATGGACCCACTTAGGTCCCATACCATTTCTGCAGTCACGTTTTAATGTTGCTCGATTTTCTTAAGTATACAAACACGTATGCGCAAAATATAAAATCACCTATCCCCGTCTCGCATCATTTCTATCAAAACATCGGTCAGAGCTGAAATCTTTGAAATAGTGTACCTCCAAAAATTATGTCTGATATACCCAGCTTTCTGGGTCTCACCCATTCACCCATTCACGTTTTCATTTTCAGATCCAGAACAAAATATAACGGTCGAAAAATGCACCAGCGAAGAAAGCATCAGTCGTATAACATGCATACCAACAATGTAGATAATATGTATGGAGTGCCAATATCATCAACATCATATCAGTACCAGTATCAGTATCAGTATCATAATGTAACACATGAAGTTACAACAATTAACGATTTGATAAACATGCTCTCTCCGACCGACGATTTGATAAATGACTATGACTATGACTATAACCATGACTACGACTTTGTGTGACATAAACGTTTCGTCAAAATTAGACAGAAGAATCTCGATTCAGCTTGGTCTAAACACATAAGGTTTGTTGGTGTATCTGTAAACGTCCATTCGTGTTGTTGAAATTTCCGTACTTGGTGTTGGCAATGAGATTTATCTACATTTATTAATCAGTTGGTGTTTTATGAATATATGTTATTGGAGTGAAGGATCTTAGAAAAGGGTGCAATATTTTCTGAACATTTTTACTTTTTTACTTATTCGAATTCAATTCTTCCAGTATTTTCACATCTACAAGATAAGCGGCTTCTGACATACGTTTAGTTTGAGTGAACTCCATTTCTTACTGGGATAATAGATTTCCTTTTCTTTTGTAATTTATCCACTACTCCCTAAAATTTTAAATTATATGATTGATTAACGTATTCAACCATATGACTTTTATTCTTCCATGTCAGTTTTATAAATGTGAAATATACAAAGTAATCCAGATCAACGTCTTTTAGTTCAAGAAACAATAAGTGAAATTTTGCGGTTGCTTCGGTTTTTAACAGTCATTAGACATTAAAAAAGATGCAAGCAGTTTGTGTGAATGCGTATAGATTTACGTGTATTTTCACAATCGCGTAGAAATTCTAAGTTTCTGGAAATGTTCTGTGAAGCTACACGAGATTAAAAAAGCACTAAATTTTTCATTTGATAAGGATTGTTGAATTTCGATGTGTTTAAGTCTCCTAAAAATTGCTTTTCTATGGCCTAAAGTGGCCAGAAACTTGAAAAACGCTAAAAAAATATCTCGGCAGTTTTTAAAAGTGGGCATCTATCAATTTTTACATTAACATACCATTGAAGCGATCCGAACCATTGATGTTTTTCATAAGTCTCCTATCACTTTTCAAAAATTAAGCATCATTATCTTCTATAACCTTGGAGCGTATTGTTTTCCAAATTTTTTTATAAGCGATGTAGCTATTCTCGCGATCGCGTCGGTAGAAAGAACTACATATACAGATCGATCGACAATACATCCTCACGGATATGAATGACATTGACTTCCGTGATCAAATGATTTTCATGACATCGAAACGATTCCAGAAAATAAAATCCTCGCTTAATACGTGTGAAATGAAGAACAACGAACTGCTTACTTCACGCAACTGTGGAGTAAACTTATCCAGTCTGATAGAGGTTATTTTTTATCTGCTTTCGTTCGTTGTCCTACCATCATGTTGATTTCCAACAAGCATGAGACAGCTGTACAAGGTTGTGTTAGTCGTCTGTACTGTTGTTTTTGTTCGTCTAAAGGGATCAATAATCTAAGTAGTGTATTAGTGGTTATCATCAACAAGTATTTCCGTTTGAGTGGTATTGTAAAGGGGATCTAGGTTTATTTTTAATCACAGTGGTCTATTGGGTTATGGTTAAAGTTAATTGAAATATTTTTTTAATTTCTTTAATATGTTCAGGATTGACGAGAGGGCGAGCATTCAGCTACTTCACTTGGTAATGTTACGAGCACAGAAACAGTTCCGCAAAGTTGTGGAAAGTAAAGAAAGGACATCACGCCAAAATACTGTTAATTTTGGACCCGCTCTCAAAATTTTGGCCTTCCTGATACTCTTAGTTCCCCCTCTCGATGCACCTGAATATTTCTTTTTGGTTTCCATTGTCTATACAATTTTACTGTCACGACGTTCTGGATGTACTGGTTATTGAATATAATGAATTATACTTAAAATTGCGTCATATAGCTTGAAATTGTATGACAGTGAAAGTCTAAAATATTATTGTGTAAGAGCCACATGAAACTCAAATGAGTTTGCTGTTTACCTGGCGAGGCAGCTGTCTTTAATTTGTAGATGAACTTTTTCCAACGATATCACTGTATCCATACTCTTAACCTGTTTCTACCCATATAAAATTCAACTTGGAAGAGAAATAGAAAACACAGGAGTGTGGATATAGTAACTTATAACTGGTAATGGTAGTAATAACACCTCTACAGGTAGTGCGCAAAAGCAATCCTAGATTGAACTCGTGTATACACTATATTTAAATAGCCGTAATAAAATGTCATCCATTAATGTGATAGAGTGTTGAAGTTTAATTTGCAAAATTGTTTTTTTATGAATCACTCCATCTTTGTGATATCAACATGAAAATCGGGGGAGTCTGTACATGAGGACACGACCGTGTTGTATTTTACAACATATTATGGGTTCTAGTTACGTCTACTATTTTTTTTTTATTATGAGAAGATTGCTGTTTTTAAATAGAAAATGTACTCAATATATGTTGTGGACGAGAAAGGAACGTAGTCATGGATTTTCGACAATAACTCATATTCGCTTTGCAAACTATCCATTATAGCGTTCGAAATGCAAATAATTCTTAAATGGTTTGTTTTATCGAAATATATGTATAGTGCCTTCTTTTATTTAGAAAACGTCTATCTTATTATAATTTTTATTAAGAAATATTTGACTAGTGCTAGCTAAAAGTTATGACATAAGTTAGGAGGATTGATAAGTTGAAAAGTACATTAAAATCATGTTCATCATCCTCAGAAACTCGCGATTACGAATATTCATGTTAATATTACAAAAATAGCTTGAGTTATAGAAAAAACAATTTTGAAAACTGAACTTCATTATTCTGTATTTCATAAGGAGCAACATTTTACTAAGGCATATTTAGATCAGAATCATCATTGAACGTCATTTAATCATTATCTAGGATTTCTTTTTGGCGCATTCAGCACGGATAATCCTGTATTTATCAATGGTATCATACATATTAATCCAGTCTCACTCTCCAACAGGTAGCAATGAGTGGTCCCCACAAACTAGCCATTGTCGCCTTTGCATTTGCTGTACCTGTCAAAAAAAGACGCACGGTAACCATGGAGAAGTCACCACAGTCAATAGTGTTTGATGAAAAGACAAACCAACCAACATATAAGCAACACCCGCAACGACTTTCTCAAGATAAAACAGCAGTACCTGACACGGCATCGTCCCATAAACCAAAAAAATTAAAAACGTAAAAACTGTCGCCCCCGTTTCATTCATTCTCTTTAGTGTTTTATCAGTTGTGTAAGATCAAGGTCTTCTGCATTAGGCTATAAATATATTGGTGTTTATTAATATTTCCATATAAACTCAAAATCAAAATTCGATGATTGAATATCAGGCATAGATATTAAAAATTACTGAAGAATATGCCAATAATGGCAGATATAAATCTAAGATGCATGAGTAAAACTTTATTTTCACGAATAATGATCTCTTTGGGACACTGAATGCTGCAATTATGACTTTAGTCTCTTGCTCATCTAGTACCATGTCCATCTATAATTTCAAAAAGTTTAAGGAGTAATGCAGCCCGCACACATAAAAATTTCTATTACATTTGGGGAGGGACAGTTCGATGTCTAAAAGGCAAAATTATCAGTCGTACTCAGTTTTCCTGTTCGTGCGCGGTCACTGTATCTGCGACTCGATTCGAACAGGAAAACTGTGCCTAACTGGTGACTATGACATTCAGACATGGTACTGTCAGTCCTGATCTCATCAGACACTTCAGAGTTCCATTGTCAGCCAACTTTCTATTATTTTTAAAGATTATGCGTTCAAACTATATGAACAATTTTTAGCTTTCTTGTTATATTATGGTTTCCGTAGGTTTTCTAAACTTGGCATCACAACACTACTTCAAACGGTTGATTTTTTTGAGCAGAATAGAGATACGTCTTTACAGACATTTTCTTATCTTGAGACAACCTGATGGCGAGTTTTCAAGGCCTTTAATTAGTTGTGATTTCGTATCCTTATAGGTCATTGCAATCGATTAAGAATTAAATGCCTAGGTGGTGGGCTTGACTTGAACCTAAGACTGTAGGTCCTTAAAGTTGCGCTCATTCTGGGGATGAAAAACGAAGAGATGATAAACGAAACTCTGCTGCTAGACTCATACGCACATAATCAATTGGCAAATGTCGTCGCGGTTCTCTTCACGTCATTATATGTGCAACATTAAGGGATATATAGAAACTTCAAGGCTCAAGTTGGATTTTTAAAATCCTATAACTCTTTGTTGTTTTTTTCCGAAAACAATGTATTGAAGATTTAAGACTGCTGTTGTGATTGTTAGAGTTAGTTGTCTGAAGATAAATTGAAAACAATATGTATAGATGTAGTATGACGAGTACTGCGATACAGCTTTCTACAAAAATGTGATGAAAACATTGAAACTTCTCACTGTTAACCATTATTCTAGAGTATTTGTCACTGTACAGATTGATTGGAACTTATGGAAATAGTCGTCTTAAGGAGTAAGGTTAAAGAATATTTTAGGATAAAAATGTTAAAATTGGCTATATTATGTGATTACAAGAATTTGATTCACTTTAAGACACACTGATATATCAAAGAAAATTCTATAGAATTTATTATGGTAGGTCTGAATGTTGTCTAAAAGAATTATGTGTAAATAGAGGACAATCTTATACAACTGATTATCATATTCACTATAGAATCGTATCCTTATACGCACATTTAAAATATATGTTTAAACCTAAAGTAACTCTCACTTTTATTTGAGGCTATTTGTGCTTAGTAATAAGAAGTTAAATATATGCTTTATTTAGGACACCGTGTACATCAGTCAACAGAATAACCACTAAAAACTCCTTTTGTTCAATACGGTTTAATTAGATAATATATAGAAGTACCTGACATCAACATTGAGCTTTTTACTATGCTTCGCTAGACCACAGATTAGATAACAACCATGTCACTTCGATTAAACGGCCGCCATTTAGAGTCAGAGAATAAAAATCGCCTCCTGTAAATTCTCCTAGAAGTAAATGGAAGAAGGATAAGTCAAGTTCCGTGATCCAGCAATTCGAGTGACTGGCCATGTTTACTGCATGAGTAGCCAAGCGCTTAGATATCCGAGACACAGAGCAACATTAACGCACAATACAGCACGAATTATTGGAACTCTATGGCTAACTTGGCGCTTGGTTACATGCAGTTATAAACATAGCCAGTGTTGCCGCATATCGATGGCAATATTTGTTTGCAAAACAACAAGTAACGACTACGTCTACAATACATAAAATATTTACCTTTGCATTTAGTTCCTGCGCCCATACTTCTGTCCACTGTACATTCAATTTAAACACCATTAAGGATATCAGGAAAAATTTACTAAATCGCAAGACTTTGCGTCATGCATCGGAGAAAAATGGGAGTAAACCACGAGCAGTGACAACCAAACTGACTCTTTACTGCTTATAGTTCTTTGGGAAAACCACCATATTACGCGACGATTTGATGGTTGTAGAATCGAAGTATGAATTTTTTTCTTATCCATTTTCTGTACTGTTTTCTCATTTGCTCGTTGTTGCTTCTATTTGCTTTCACGTTTGTTTATTATTTTTATATTTATTGAATGTTCTGCTTGCATATGTGTTTAAATTAAATACTCGGTAGAAGTATGGACATCGATGTAGGAAGGAAATGCAATGGAAATACATATCTTGTAGGTCTCGAGGTCTTTCATCGTTCATTTTTGTGAAAGCACTTCCCATAAATTGAATATTACTAGTAAACCGTTTTATTTGTCAGAATAGTATCTTTTTACGATTGCAAAGAGAGAAAAAGAATGGTTACCGGTGACAGCATAGTAAGCGGCTAAACTGGCACTGGCACGAAACACAAAAGTTGTTACATCTTTGATCCGTTTAGTTTTAGGAGAATTCACAAGCGACAATGTTAATTTCCCCTACTGAAATGACAGCCGTTCTTATGTAAGCTGTGAATATACTAACATTTCATTTGTATATTTGTCATGTAATGTTGCTAATGTATTAATTTTGTTGCTTTCATAAGCTTCACAGATACTTCAAAAATAACTTTTTTTCTCATCTGCTAGAGAGTCGAATATGTTTAGCTTCAAGATAAGCTTGCTCTCGTTACTCTGATTCTTTTTGACGCTATTCAAGTGCGGGTTACTTTAGCTCATTGTGTTTTTAACTTGTTTCTCGCAAGCATGCGATTTCATACAATAAGATTATGTTAGTATGCTCCCTTCCGGGAACAGAATTGCAGACGATTTTGAAAGTGTAAAAAGTCTGAGAATCGTGTACATTTTCACGCTTGTATAATTTTATGAAACTGATCAAATTCTCTTTATAGTCGTCAAAGCAAAGTTATATCTTGGACGTCACCTTCTACATTGAGTAGGGCATATTAAGAAATGCATAACAGGAATTTCATTGTCATCGTGTTTTGTTTATTTTAAGATGTATTAGTTTCGTGATATAAGAAAGCTATATTCTGTTATTTCTGATAAACCTACTCTTTGTAAAGGGTTTTTGAAATAATTTCCAAGTAAAACGTTTTGACAACTTGCCTTTTAGGTACTTTCTCATCTTTTCGTGTGTCTTTATATAGTTCGTTTACATTTTTTGTAATTATTATTGTTTTAGCTGTAATAAGTCAAGACTGCAACTTGTACGAGCTCATATGCTTTTTAATCGATTCTTTTTATATATTTTTTGATTGATAATTTTAAGTATACATTTCTTAGAGGTGATAATGATGTGATCTAATTGTTTGCAGTCTTGACTATTTTTAATTTATTTATTATATATGTATGCGAACGACAATGTTTAGAATACTCATCAAAAGTTTCAGATATGGTTTTTCAATTACCCGGTTTTAGTACGAAATTTACTCTGTCATCACTGCTTCTTTGCGTCAATTTATGGACTCCATCTAGGAGCATTATTATACATACTGAAAGCAAGTCCTAGTGTCAGCATCTGTGGAAAAAATGTGAACTTGACTTTCATGTGTATCCAGTATACTGATCCTCTCTCTTGTGATGATGAATATCCACTTAATAGATTTCTCAATGCTTCAGATATTGTTTTGCCTCGTTTTGATAATGTGAGAACTGGATCTTTGATAAGTATTCTGTTCTGATACAATTGTACATCATCGCTTGACTAATAATTCGTCGCATCTTTTATACACAAACTCAACCTTTTTGGCATATACCTTGAGACGCTTTCAGAAGCCAATAAGAGATAACCATTATTTTTATAAGGAAATGAACATACTCAAAATCAAAAATCAATCTTTGAACCTTAAAAAAGTTGAGCGTAATATTATGTATAATTAATTTTTATTTTTACTGCCAGAATAATTATTCGGTTTAGCAGCTTTGAAACAACCCGATAGCTTTTTCGGCGTTGTCTACGTAGCTCCTTTACCGCATTACTTGCGAATAACGTAACGTTAGTCGGCATACCTAGTAATTTTACACCCTTCTTGGGTGTCTTGAAATGTATTTACTTGGGACATATACAAGAGATTAAAAGACATTGACTTTTCTCATGAGTTGTGATGATCACAAACAAATGTATTTATGGGGAGGTGACGTTATCCATCTGTCCATAACACTTGAAATTGAAATTTTGTCAATTTATAGAGCGAGAATACTGTGCATATAATAATACCACCATAGACTCTGAAAACGGAGAAATGAAACTGGTTTGGTGCAATTTATACGTCTAAATAAAAAAATTCACTCTGACATGATTTGAAATACAATGAATCTTAATAACGAAAAGGTAAATTATTTGATACCACGTTTATTTGAAGACTAACATCCTAGTATTTTTTAAGCTATTAACAAAATTTATTTACAGCTGGTACTTAATTATCCATACAATTTGTATCAATTGTGGGCTGAAGCCATCATGGCTGGGAATTTCTGAGTTATTTCTGGTCCAATTTGGTCTCATTTCTGCATAAAATAATATATATTATATATAATATTTTTATAGGCCTTCAGTTCCAGCAAGTATCGTAAATGTAGGATGGGATTGATATTCAGGGATTGTACGCGAAGATTGTAAAGTAACAATTCCTTTGTTTTAGTGGCGGTCTGCTTAGGATCATTATCCTGCTGAAAGGTAAATGTTTCCCTGATCTCCATTTTTTCAATACTGCAGTTCAGGTTATTGCGCGTAAGGTCAACATACTTGTCTGCACGTCGTGGAATGGTGTTGGGAAGGCATTCTCAACATTGCATTTTGCGCAATAACTTGAACAGCAGTATGGGTAGGATGAAAAATGGGGATCAGGAATACATCTTCTAGCAGGATAACGATCCTAAACACACCTCCAATATTTACTTTACGATGTTCCTGCACAACTCAAAACTCCACCGCAATCCCAGAATACCAATCCCATTATACATGTGTGGCACTTTCTGGGCCTGGAAGTCCGAAAAAGTAAAATTTCAGCCCAACGACAGCCACAAGGCGTTTTTAAGGAGGAATAGGACGAAATTGGACCAGAATTAACTCATAATTGATGCAAATTTTATGATAAAAGTACTAACTGTACATACATTTTGGTAACACTTATACACTTGTTTTTTTGCTAGTGTGCCAATATTTGTTTACCCTTGATTTTCATAGCTTCTTTTATTAGTCTTATTTGCTCAATCTATTGCCATCAAAAAATGACTATTTCTTTATTAGTTACTTCTTAAATAAATTTGGTATGAAAAATGCATTCATTATTGAGATTCAAGATAAAATTATTGTGTGCCAATACTTTTTGACTCCCTGTAGCATCGTAAAAAATTATAATGACGAGAACAGTTTGTGAAAGAAGCCTTTGTCTTAATATTGAGACACTCTGTCTACAAATTACCTTTTGGTGGAATCTGGTCTTTTGCTAATATAAGAGAGACAACGTGGAATACTACGTGATGATTCTCGAAACTGACGTGGAGTAGTCAAATTTAAAACCTACCAGCGTTTCATCAAGGCAACGAATCTCCAAAGAATCAATTATAGATCTAACCTTTCCCAATATTCAACTACATTTTATGTTAAAATGGGCCTGGAGCTAAGAAGTCTTTGGTGTCCGCATAGTAACCGAGGGTATTGGTCTGAAACAGACTTATGTTCTGATCTAGAGGATGGACTGAGGTATTTCGCAATTCTATAAGACGAAATCTCACTAGACTTCGATTTGACATTGTTAACTGCTACAGGAGTCAAGTTTCACAAATTGTACAAATATTGCGCTATCTCTTTAAGTAGAAATGTTTGCGACCAGGAATGTCTTTTCTTATTGCATTTTTTACATTACATCAAACGTTGAACGCGGTTATGACTACTATCGTCCAGTCAAATGCAACCAATTTTCCAGCCAGTCCGACCAGCATTTCTTTGTGTGGAAATTTTTGGCCACCAATTTTATACTGTTGTCTCTATGGAATGCTTCCATCCGTTTTATATATTTGGTCCAGTCTAGTACTGTTTTATAAACTAAATTAATATGTGATTACATAATCTTGCGACTATTTGCCACGTCAGTTAATTTAAACCACATATTTTTTATTTAATTGACCATATTGTATTTTTTTGGTCTTTGAAGTGTGTGAGAAATAATGCAGTCAGTCACCCTAGCAATAGAAACAATGTGACTTGAAAGAAACTACAATGATATTTCTGTATAAACATAACTATTATGGTATTTTATACAAAACCACTTTAGATGTTGAAAGTTCATCTCAGTTTGAAAGGTATGTGAGATGCGGTACGTTCCGATATTATTTTTGTAAACCACTATAGTATCTCAAAAACTACCTGTGCCAGAATATAATGTAGCTGTAGTTCAAAGCATCACCTAAAATGTTTTCACAAAAAGCTTGGGCAATGTTTTAGTATCTTTCCATACGTACAGAACGACAGTTGATCAATGACGACAGGAAATAAAGCAACAACAAATGCTCGTAATGTTGGGATAATTGCTATTAGAGGCATATTTCTCTTAGGTAAATACATTTGTTATTTAGCTATTTTAATGTCTAAAATTTCAGCCATTTTTGAGGTACAGTTGAGCGCTATACTAGTCAACATGTTTGAATCTCAAAACATCTGATATCTGTAAATCTATATGGAACGTGCGGTTGAGTTTCTCGAAAAAGGGAACTAGTGAATATGTATTTCGAACATTTGTTCAAGTCACTAAAGAGGTACCGAGGTATTATGTGATCGGAACTAGTACATATGGCATCCTATCATACTGTAGGCGAGTTAATTCTTTTAATTTGGAAAATGGTTTTAGGTGGCTTTCAATTTAGGTGACTCGAATGATTAATTAGATTGAGATAGAAATGAAAGAATTTTTCCAATAAGAAAAGGGTTAATTTTGAAGGCCCTTAAGTTCATAATAAATTCATTGGTCGAATCATTATCACATCTAAATGCATTCGCCGTTGTACCCAAACAACGTTTTGGATTATGGTGAATAGATCAGGAAAAAATCATCGCCTATTTTTTTTTTGCTATTACGTAGTAGTGGATCTCTATTAATTTCATTTTACAAACCCGAGACCAGACGCATAGTTTTCAACATGGTTGCCGCTTCCACAGACGTCCAAGTTGCCAAGAGGATTTTCTTGTTCAATATGCAGTTTTTACCATCTTGTGAAAATTCTAATGAACAAGGTTTGCTCAACTTCTCGATGAGTATGCTCTCTTATAAAGTGCGGACTTCAGACGTGACATAATCCTCATTTGTAGTTTAATATATCAAGTGTTAACAAAAGTGTTGCATATACCTTTTATACCTGTATTACAAAGATGATTTCAAATTTTTATAACAATAAGGTAAATAGATTGGTTTAGCTAGCTGTAGCTATAAGTATTTTGAATAAATCCATCAATAGCTCTATAAAATGTTGAGATAGCGAATTTGACAACAAATATTTTATTTTGAGAATCTAAATGGCACCTTCCGCGCAAGGGCGGCAAACAGCATATTCGAAAAATATATCTTTTAGTACAACGAAAAAAGCTATATGCAACATCTCAGTCGACAGGCCTTGTAAGTGAATATAATGGAATTCGTTTCATCACGATAATTTTATCATTTTGAAAAAAAAACGAATTATCTGCCTTATGGCTACCATGCGCACTACATCTGAATAAAGCTCTGTACTTCTTAAAGAGTAGTCCATTTGCGTCTTTATTTGATGCTCTAGGTATGCCTTTTAATGATATTTCTGAATTCTGTAATTTGTCTCGTAAAAAATGTTTTTTTGGTTTATCCAGTTAGGTACTTAAATTGTGACAATTTTTATGTATAATATGATTTTATAAGATCTCAGATTTTATATTATGTTCTTCAGTAGTGCTTATGGTATTGGACAATGGTTTTAATGTAATTTTAAGTTTAAAGCTAGGCGTTCTTTAAACATATTTATGTAAAAATAGAATAAAAATAAAGAACTTGGACCATTATTTGATGTTTTGATTAACCCAATTTGGGGTTCCATAGATCAATGCGATGAAATTAACTTCGCAAGTTTATTGGATAACAGATCGAACAGGAGTAATCGATGCCTTCCAAGCGGATTCACAATAGTCCAGTCAAATTAACTTCGCTCCTGACGCAGGTGCTTATTTGGCGAATGTTGTTGGCAGTAGAACAAATCAGTAGGCTGGCTAGCAAAATATTAAGTTTACCTGTCAAATTGTTTTAAAGTTACGTACTTTCTGTTTCACGCATGATAAGTGCACGATTTGTAGTTACAAGTCGAACGTGAAGGACCTAATATGAACAAAAGAGAGCGTTGAAGGAATAAGCCGTGTATTGCGTTATCAGGGTAAATGCTCCCAGCTGTACCTACCGCATTGCTATGGCTGTCTTGTACCAAGTAGGCTTTCAACTGGCAGATTACACACCGCATTCGTATTTTGGCCCACAGTATTTTCATATATCCAAAATTGAAACATTCACAAAAAAAATCAAGTAACAGGTGACATGTATGACAGTAGTCGTGAAAAATTTCCGCTCAAGCGGAATCCCACAGCAACAAATTCCGAGATTTGCTGCCTTATGACCATTTCCAATAATTTTGAGAGTATTGGTAAAATACTGATTGGTCTCAGATCTTTAATATCTTCTACTACAGATACCTTGGGAATTGGGATGATTTTTGAAATCTTCCACGCTTCTGGAAAAACGGAGTATAATAAACAAAAGTTAATAATATAGGTAATGTGGTACAGTAGATGATCCTCAATAACATATAGCATTTTCTTGGAAATACCATCATGTCCTGCTGCATCAGATTTGATGCTTCTTATGTTTTTTGAAATTAATGCAGCATCTACTGAAGTAAAAGAAAACAAGTTGTTACTGCGAGGTTCTTTGTATCCATTTAACAAATCTAGTCGAGACTGAGTTCTATGAACTTTGGGTAGATTTGAAAAGTAAGCATTTATTGTATCTGGATTAGAAAGGTGTTGAGGAATGGAATTTGTACTGTTTTTGACAACTCCTATTTGACGTAGCCGATGCCAAGTCATTTTTATATTTCTCCGTTTCATAGAAAATTCAATATAAGCTTTCTGCTCACGCTGTATGGCCCCTTTTGTATAATTTCTGAGTTCCTTATAATAGTCCCAGTGAGAAGGTTGACGACTTATTTTGAACAAAAAGCTTTGTCGCGCAATTTCATATATATATATATATACTAAGTGACATATAAATCCGAACACCCTGTTTAAATGGTTTTATTTTAATAAGATTTTGTATAAGTACTTAATGAAGAATAATGAGTAAATGCTAAAAATTTCAAAATGATTGCACTGCTTTAAAGCCCTTTGACCTTTAATAATGTGTGGATGCACCCTGATGTGCTACGCATTCTCCGACGCGCCTAGGCATGCTTCTGATCAGGTGGTCAATGTCCTCCTGTGGTATCTCATTCCAGGCAACCACCAACTCTTCTCGAAGTGCTTCTAGAGTCTGAGGAGGACGTAACAAATTGAGCAATCTCCTACCCATCATATCCCACACGTGCTGAATTGGGGATAAGTCGGGAGATCTTGGTGGCCATGGTAACAATGTGACATCGTTATGTTGAAAGAAGTCTATTGTGACTCTTGCAACATGTGGTCGGGCATTATCTTGTTGGAAAGTTGGATCTGCCAGGGTGTCAAGATAGGGTAAAAGATGGGGTTCTAGAACTTCGTGGATATAACTGTGGATTCCTCCTTTCACCACGTCGCCTCCTAACCCTGGCACGACCATCGTGCATGCCTAAACAAAATCGAGACTCGTGACTAAAGACAATACTGTTCCATTCCTGATCCCAGAGTGACCGTTGTCTGCACCACTCAAGGCGATTACGTCGGTGTAAGGGTTAGAAGGCGACGTGGTGAAAGGAGGAATCCACAGTTTTTTGTTGATTGAAAGACATGTTCATCACACTGTTGAAGTTATGGTTTGGGGTGCTATAGCTTATGGTTCCAGGTCACCTTTAATCTTCATCAGAGGTAGCATGAACGCGCAGCGTTATATCCACGAAGTTCTAGAACCCCATCTTTTACCCTATCTTGACACCCTGGCAGATCCAACTTTCCAACAAGATAATGCCCGACCACATGTTGCAAGAGTCACCATAGACTTCTTTCAACATAATGATGTAACACTGTTACCATGGCCACCAAGATCTCCCGACTTATCCCCAATTGAGCACGTGTGGGATATGATGGGTAGGAGATTGCTCAATTTGCAACGTCCTCCTCAGACTCGAGAAGCACTTCGAGAGGAGTTGGTGGTTGCCTGGAGTGAGATACCACAGGAGGACATCCACACATTATTAAAGGTCAAAGGGCTTTAAAGCAGTGCAATCATTTTGAAATTTTTATCATTTACTTATTATGCTTCATTAAGTACTTATACAAAATTTTATTAAAATAAAACCATTTAAACTGGGTGTTCGGATTTATATGTCACTTAGTATATATATATATATATATATATATATATATACAGGGTTATCCAAATTAAGTGTCCACCATTAGTAACTTTGTTATTAGTGAAAATACAAAGTTGTTTGTATTAGCAAACTAGTAGCATTTTTAACGCTGGTAAAAATGAGAAATAAAAAAAAACAATTGAGAGTCGTTATTTTGATTTTTTTCAGTAAAATAACATTTTTTTAAATGGAAACCCCTGTATATTATATTTTTTTCTGTTAAAGCATCAAATTTTAAACAAAAAAGCTTACAATAACTTTTCTCCTAGGTTACAAATTGTTGAAGTTATGGCCTCCAATCTGAAACAATTAAATTGTATCGACAAACTTTATTTTCAACATCAACTTATAATCTTACAAAATACAATAACAATTTTTTTTAAAGAAGATGCTCGAAAACACCACCTTGTTCTTCAATACATTTTTGGGCACGTTTTTCAAATTTTAAATTAATGACACAATAAAGCTTATAAACAAGTATTTACACTAATGTTTGACATTATTTGATTTTATCATTGTTTTCCAAAGCCTTCTAGTTGCGAATATGTCCAGTTTAACAATTTGTCGCTTATCTTAATGCTGTCAAATCGCGAACGCCATGTTGTTTTCATAGCCGTCTTAATATTATAATACTGCAAATAATTAAAAATATTTATCGTTATTTTGACTTTATTTTTGACTTTAGCGGAAAAGTCATTATGAACTTTTTTGTTTAAAATTTGATGCTTTAACAGAAAAAAATATAATATACAGGGGTTTCCATTTAAAAAAATGTTATTTTACTGAAAAAAATCAAAATAACGACTCTCAATTGTTTTTTTTTATTTCTCATTTTTACCAGCGTTAAAAATGCTACTAGTTTGCTAATTTAAACAACTTTGTATTTTTACTAATAACAAAGTTACCAATGGTGGACACTTAATTTGGATAACCCTGTATATTCATAGAATGTTTCGCTGGTCATCCATCCTTTAGGGCTACGGCCGATGCCCCACTCTGGGTTTACTGATTTAGCAATCTTTTCAGGAAATCTCGCGTAGGGGTAAATGATCATAGGTACCCCAATTTCCCCATTAGCTGAAAAAGCAAAGATAACTGTTATATTTTCTTTTGCTGCACCTCTATCGATTGTGTAAACGTTTTTTGCACCACGTTTCGCAAATACTTTGCCAGTAGAAGGGCTAACTTCAAATCCTGTTTCATCCGCATTATATACTCGAGTAGGATCTGATATCACATCTTCCAAGTCATTTCCTTTTATGTAAGTTTCTAATTCAGAGAACCATAGTCTGATATCCTTTTCGGATACACACGCACTAGCTGCGCTCACAGATTCGCTTCTTCTTTCAACAATTTCCGGATGCCTTTCCAGAAAAGCCTAAAACATGATCTTTATTAAAAAATAGCTATGAATTGCTTTATAGTCATACTTTAACCCATCCATCGCCAGGCCTATTGTTGTTGAAAAGATTTTTCCGCGGATGATCATTTAAAAAATTTTGAACACTGGACTTGAGGTCGTTCGCCTTCTTTGGAAATCCTTTTCGTGCTGTTTCTAGGATCCAGCTAGAAATCGATGGCCAAATGTTATAATAGACAATAAATAGTTATATTATTAATCCATTTACTTCACCAATATCATCTCTTCCTCTTCGTTGAGAACAGGTGAGGGACCACAAGTATTTTTGTGATCAGGATGCTTAATTTTAAATTCTATAGTCGATTTCGGAACTCCATATTTCAATTCTGCAGATCTATATGATTCAACTTTGTTGATGACGTCTTGCACTGCCCTATCTATGTTGCTTTTATCATAGTATTTGACCTTAGGCATCGTTAGTCACTAAAAATAAACATATTATACAGTTATTGGACACTCTATCTCTAAAGGTGGGTTCATGCAAGACTTAACGTAACTTAACTTAAGAAAATGAGCATTTAAAGCGCATGCGCGGCCAGGATTGCCAATGTAGCAATGGCGACAATGTCAACATTAAACACACTAACAAAATCATATGTTTAACGTCAAAGTAGCAGATGAAAGAGTGTTTTGTGGCTTTTGTGTTGCGTGGACTGGCGGGCCAGCCTTGACATTGACAAGTGGCCCCTCCCCACTCGCTTGCGCCAATTCACTGGTAATCAAGTCACAGAACTCGGATAATAGTCCAGATAATATCGAAACATCTGCTCGGAAGAATCTTCCGATTCCGATTTTTGCATAATCTGATTCAAGGACCTCTGTTAAAGAATCAGCATGTGACTAGGCCCAAAATTGCTCCAAAGATTGTTATTAAACCTATTCCAAAAATTGATTTGTTCGCTTTGTTTATAGTATTTTGCGGTTTTTAGGACATTCTGAATAAAAAATGGGCTTTAGACTTGATATATACAGCTTATAAGCAAGGTAAAAACTCAAAATATGCCATTTGCTACCCTAAAAACAATATGAAAAATGAATATTTTGATGTTGCCAAATCTCACACATGCTTCAACCAACCAATAACAAAACCCCCAGAGCATTTTAGGGAGTACAGTTATTGTAAATATTTGCATAGTAATTATGAATTGAATGCGCGCTCAATGTATAGTCTATGTCTATGTGAACGCGAGAGAGAGATGAAATATCTCTCGTGCATGCTGAATATGCATTGAGCATTGTGTTAATGATTATTTATGAAGCATGGCGACATTAACATTTTCGTTTTTTCAGATCGTTTTTCGGTATCGCAAAATCAATTTTTTGTACTTTTCCATCTCGTACAAAATCAGCTTTTAACAAACATTGTCAAACATCGTTTTGTTTCCGAGTATCAAAAAAAAACGAATACTACCTTTGATGAAGCGAAAACATTATTTTTTGGATTTCATTTGAAAAAGTTGTACAAACAATTAGAGACGCAATTTGGAGCCTGACAACATGTAGATTTGTTACTAGGAGACGTTTTCGAATAACATGCAAAAAGTCCGAATCCGAATATTTTCCTGAGCAGATGTGAAGATATTTCTTGGACTATAACCTCGACGGCAGCGCCACTTTTCTTGGCTGGAAATCTGGTGGAACTAAAAATATTGAAAGTATGCCGACAACGCATATCAGGAATGTGTCGGCGATTTCATTTGTTTACATTACGAAATCTGACTGATGACCGTCCCGATATTGAGGCAGTTCGATGATCATAGATGCATAACACATCCTCAATAAAGGAAGTATTTCTTTCATCAGTTTGGCTAGTGATGAATTACAGGATAATAAAAAAATGTATAATTAAAAAAATATTTATTGAACAGTCCCAGCAATAATAGAACAAAGTCTCCATTACAATAAATTGTACATACATAGAAGTATTCTATTCATCTGGATTTTTCTCTATATTATGAACCTGATCAGTCCAATATTATGCAAGCACTATCTCTTGTTAATTGATCATGTATATTTATTGCGAAAACATAAATACTAAAATAACAAAAAATACATCTGTAGTTAGAGGACTGACTGGAATACAAATATAATCACTCTGATATGTGAATCAAAAATAGTTTTGCACACACTGTTAATAGGTAAAGGCAAACAAAATTGTCCTCAACAAAAAAAAAACACATAAAACACTAATTGTTTCTTCAAACTAGGAAACAAACTCCTTATGTCATTGACAATTAATTTGGTATTCAATAAAATAAATGACAATCTTCACTCCAACTGTCTCCTCGAAGGATGTTGACACTGTGAAACAAAAAAAAAAGTATTAGCATAATATCACTGCCATATTTGGTCAGCAAACACTAAACAGAAACATAGTCATCTCACCATGCCCCTTCAGATAATACTGCTCTGTACATATGTATAAATTCCCAATCTAGCAGTATACATTTGATTGCCATAATTCTGTGTGTAAACAAATTTTCATTGGTGATACCAAACACCAGTCCTTAATTTGGCCCTTTACCAGATTTGTTATTACCAACAGTACAGATGTCACAAAAAAAAGTTACGTGCTACTCATCTGTTTACCTCAATAAACGTCAAAAGAGATTACATATTTGGTGGGCTGCGAATACACAGCATTCGCCAGGTGTACACCTGGTTTGTAGTTAATGACAAAGTACCTTCACAGTGTTCTGTGAGGTTTTGGAAAAACATGTCATGGGGGGCATGGTATAGATTTAAATTCTCTTTTTTCTTCTGTATGGGCTATAATTTGCCAACATCACCACTGGTACAGTCTCAGACATGAAAGTGCTTGCATCTATCAGCTGTGAAGTCAGTACTACAAGCACAAAGTTTTAAGATCATTTCCATTTTTTTTTTCGTTCTCTAGAATATAATTTCAAAATCCTCTATCTTAGTAAGGGGCAATTTAGGACACATGTTTATTTTTGTCATGCTGTTTTTTGATCTACTTTATGCTGTAGCAATACTGATATGTTTTGCTGAAACTACCACTATACGCACTTTGTTAGGGGATGAAGTAAACATGAGCACTGACTTTATTTAATATAATTTTTAACATCTCTGACTTTTTTTATCAATCCGCCCCGATGTTCAGCGCTCTAAACTGTCATGCGTAAGCGACCGCAAATAATTTTTCATACAACTATCACCGAACCATCTGCCCATACAGCGATATAAAATCGATCAAACATCACGATATAAATATCGACTATCGACTTTTGTACAGTATCGATGGCTCGTACCAATCTTCTAATTCCAGCTGTAGCGATCAGCTGACCAACGCTAGTGATCCGATTGGTTGGTTCTTAAGAAAAAGTTCAATATATTGAACTTTATTTTAAGAAGTGACCTTGAATTAAGAAAACGACCATAACCTCAATATATTTAGTCATTTATGCAAAAATGAACTGATTTGGATACTTACAGCAATGTCATCATTAAGCACTCCTCTGGTGATGTCCGATTGCGTTCAGGTGACTTCTGCAGGTACCTCTTCAACAAGGTCAGGAGTTGATACCAGCGCGGCTTTTCGTTTTTTTTTTGCTCTAGGCATGGCCATCCTCAATTAATCGCACAAAAAACAAGTCCAAGGCAGAAAAACACACGCGAAGACGAACACCAAAACAAATCTCTACCGCAAATTCGTCAACAACTCAAAACAAAAACAACAGATGAGTCACCGCCTGGCTTTCTCGGTAAATCGTCGTGGAACACGAGACACCACAAAATTATTATAATTACGTCAATACGAGCATAGAACAGTATGGAAAGGGCTATCCAAGGGTAAGACGAGTTCCGAAACCACCCGAATCATGTCAAAAAATGGGTGTGACGTCACCAAAACGTTTGACCACCACTGGAAATCACTAGCTAGTTACTATCTGCTGGCGTAACATGTGGAGGACACTGGTGTAGAAACAGCTGATCCTTAAGTTCGGTTACGTTAAGTCGTGCATGAACCCGACATAATTAGTGGACATCCGTCCAATAACTGTTCACAGTGCTCTGAAATATCTGTAAAAAGTATAGCGAAGAAACCTAATCGTTTTTAGTTGATTGGCATAGATTTTACACAAAATGGTTCATATACAGTTATTGGACACCTGTCCAATATTATAAATTTCCGCATTTCTCAGTTTAATTATTGGACATATTAACTTTTAGGTTATAATAATAGGATATGTGACCACTCACAATAGTGCGTCAATATATGTATAAACTTAGTCATATGACATGACAAGCATCACGGTCAAACTAAAAATAAACTAACAGTATTTAAAAACATTACTCTCTATCCTAAACAAAAACTTAACGAATACGTACCTGCACTCACGTGCATCACTTGCTACTTATACAAAACTATTCAGCAAAGCAAAGATGTCGCTGGCTTAGTTTTGAGACCTTGTAAGTGAACTGATATAGCCATCTATCGGTTGATAGACGAAGTACTAAGATTTTGAACCTTATTTTCAGGGATCGTAAGTGAACTGTCCCATAACTGTGTCGTGTCCAATAACTATAGGGTTTACCCTATAAAGATTCACTGAATCGAGTGAGCACAGAACAACTTAACATTTTTCAGTGATTGGACAGATGTCCAATAACAGAAATTAGTTGAAAAAAAAACATGAGTGATTGGGCAGAACATATTTCTGAAATTATCAACTCAAACTTGTTTTTGATGCAATCTAAAGCTTGACAACAAATATCAGTACGAGCGCAATACAAAAATAGATGCTTACCTTGAGAACAAATGAAGAATTTTTGGTAGATACCTGAACCGCAACGCTAACACAAACTTTAGCGTCACAGTCACCTATAAAATTTTCCCGCCATAATCACAGGCACAGGCGCGGAAGTATGCGCAACCGAATAGAAATCTGTTAACATATAGAGATACCATCCGTCGAGAACTGAACAAAATACGCCATACAGAACTCTTATTATTCGGTTTTGAAACAGCAATGTCCAATAACAGTCAGGTCTCCGATAACTAACGATTTACCCTATTTGAATAAATAATATTTTTTAACCAAACAGAAATCAGTCTATTTTGCTGATTTTTAAGCACCATTCCAATGGCGTTTTTGTCGATAATCAAACCTTTCAATATTTAGCTTAAAATATGTTAATTTTGATAAAATACGAAAAAGTTGAAAAACGAGTCTGTTCCTGATTCTTTAATATTCCGACTAGGTTTTCGATACACCTAGGAAAATTGGTTCAGTAGCGCTCGAGGTATGCGACATTAAAGAATTGGCGTGCTTACATTTATATATCTGAATGAAATCGGCAAAAAGTCAATTCAGAACTTTTTATTTTCAGGTCTCCGTCCGTACTACCCTCCATTTCACCATGTCAGCAAATCAACAACTTTCTTTGGTCGCCATGAATAGAATATGATGGGAAAAAGAGTGACCTCTTTACCTCATCCTTGACCAACATATAGCAGCCCTTTGGATCATTTGCAGCTAGCTTGGGATGAGATAACTCAAGAAGCATGCCACGACGACTGGAAGAATGTATATGGAATCAGGGTGCCACAACACAATATTATAGAAATCTAGCTATGCAATAGATATTTTCACTTGAATATTTAATGACAGTTTGATCTTGCTCATGTTTAGCTGTATACAAAATATGCTGCCCAGGATACAAGTCATTCAGTAGTTAGTACAATGTACACACACATAAGTTTAGGTGCACTTGTCAACTAGTGCAATACCAATGTAGTCGAAAAAATAAAAAACGTATTGGACATTTTAAATTCGACCGACATAAAAAAAACGAAAATCAAGAAAAATGTATTTAATGGGGCTGATTTGCAAATTAAATATTTGAAAAGATTGTTTTTTATTTTAGGAATCTCGAGGTTCGTTCAACAAAAGACGAAAATATTACCAACAAATATAATTTCTTTCCATCTCTCATTTAGACCCGTATTGTCAGTCGTCCTACAATTGTAGGGCGCGTTTATGGCCTTGATTGTCATACTCCTTTCTCTCCTTCAAAAATTTCTAGATTACACTTGCCCCTGTCAGCGTCAGCGCTCTCCTATTGTGAAGATATGTTTTCTTTTTAAATTGTAGGAAATTTCAGGCTGATAAAACATGATATAACTCAAAAGCAAGCACAATTTGATGCAAATAGATGTTTGTGACATAACCTCAAAATAGAGTTCTGACACGGAGAAGTAGAAAACTATGACAATCAAGGAGGCCATAAAGGCGCTCTACAATTGTAGGGACGACTGACGATACGGGCCTTAAAAATCTTAAAACAAGCGAACCAAGATGCACTAGACATTTTTTTCGGTAGTATATGTCGTAGTCGCAAACATGAAAGTCCTACGTCAGTTCAGTTTGGGTTAGCTTATAGAAAAATATTTTGCTAAAAATATCTGCACACCGATACGTCCAAGGACGATTTTTCTGAATTTACTGAAAAGCAGTGAAGAAAAATATTTACCTGACTATCGTTAATCCCGTCAAAAACAGTAAAGCTGTTCAATACCTAGATTATAGGAAACAGAGTCTTCCCACCCAAAATGCATTCACATGATGAAAAATGTCTTAAGGTTAGATTGGTTGAATTCTTGGACTCCAATAAGCTGTTATCTGAGAATCAGTTTGGTTTTAGGCAAGGTTTAAGCACTTCACATGCGGCTTACGAATTAGTGTCTAAAATAATGTGTCATTTAGATAACGGTGATAAGTGCATCGCTTTGTTTTTGGATTTAGCAAAGGCATTTGACATGGTATCTCATCCTATACTCCTCCAAGCACTGGAGGGACATGGCGTTAGGGGTGCTGTGTTAAGTGTATTAGCGATTATTTAATGCATAGGATTCAGTGTCAGGATTGCGGACGTTCTAAGTGACCCAAAGACGGTTCAGCATGGAGTTCCACAGTTCTTGGACCAATTCTTTTTAATATACAGGGTGTCCGCAAAGTTGGGGTTTTCCTTTACACGACGTGTAGATCTTGAAAACATAAGCAATTTTTCTTAGTACCATATACACCAATGTCTTAAGGGAACCGAGATAAAGATTATGTAATTTTGAGTAACATTCTAACAAATTCATAAATTTAATATATTTTTCAAAAACGTATAATATACATTTTTTTTTAGAAAATATGTTGAGGCCTGATGTCTCTAATATACGTGAGGGTGGAATTTATATTTTTAGGCCAATATATATCGACGACCTCAAATCAATACCTCGTAAGTCCGAAAATGCTGATTTTCTTATTTTGATCGCTTCTGATTCCTGTAAGTCTTCCCTAGCTACAGTTAGACAGCGAGCCGTATATAGCTGCTAGTTTGGTTGCATAAATACATAAAACAATACCACGTAAATCGGAGGGATGAAAAATAGATTCAATAGCGCGTATATCTCCTATATTCTAGGTTAAGTTTACTGTATAGCGTGAATGTGCTGGTAAGTTTGTTGCAATACTGTATATGCATGTGTAAAATAAAACTACAGAATGTCATACTTTGTCAGAAAACTTATTAGATAGCTGAGAACTAAAATTTTTTAAAATAGTTGGTGCCTATTCAGTAATATTCGTTGGTAAAACAGACGCTTGACTTACGAGCTATTGTACATGATATAATAATGCATTTGTGTTCCGGAATATATGACTTACGTGGTATTGTTTTCAATTACAGAATGATACAATATGAGCTCCCGGAGTAAACGTATACTGGAATTGTGTAACAACACACCACATAAAGTACCAGTGGGGTATATGTCTAGCAAAAAAGACAATGTCACTATTACTACTCCGGATATCAGCGAAAAAGAAAACTTCAATATCTTAGATCTACCAGTAGACATAGTCAACGAGAGTTTTATAGAAACGTTTGGTATGATTGATGCAGAAATTCTAGAATCAGTTGAAACTACAAGTCTAGCAGTTCCGGAGTTTGACAATATGGAAATTGTTCACGGAGAAGTTTCAGAAGTCGAAGGACTATCTGAAGCTACAAACTTTGCAGATCCAGAATTCGAGTGTTCAGATATCGTTCAAAATCAAACTCCAGCTGTTGAGGCAGCAGCTGAAAATGCAGGACTCGAAGTTTCAGTACTTAAGGAGATGGGTTGCCAAAAAGATAGTGAAATACAGTCAAAAGTCACGAAATATCGTGAAAATAGTTTCAGCGACGAGGAAGTACAGGCACAACCACGAAAACGCTTAGCTGGTGGAAACTTAAAAAAAATCAATCAAGATCTTCGAATGAAAGGAAAGCAATACATAGGCTACAGAAGGCCAAAAAATCAAACGAACACGTTTCACGATGCACAAAGGGAACCGAGAAAACAATCTTTAGGATGTTCGTCACAATTTTGTATTAAGTCATCAAAAAGAAAATGCAATGAGGTTGATGAAAGTATACGCCAAGATATTTTCAAAAAATTCTGGTCTGATTTAAACTGGGAGCAGAGAAAAACCTATGTGGCAAGCTTGGTCATGAAGATACCAGTCAAGGATAAAAGAAACATGATGAATTTGGAATCTAGACGCACTGGTACATTGAAATATCATTTGAAGGTAGGCTCGGTGAATATGCCTGTGTGTAAGAAAATGTTTCTTTCAACATTTGGACTGAGAGAATGGCAAGTACTTCATTGGGTATGTAAGAGTGAACACGGAATCCATAATAAAAAACCAGAAAGGAGAGAAATAGGAGGGATAGTGTCAAATCGGCAATCTAATGTTTTTATGAAGCAATTTTTAAATAACTTAAACAAATTGCCGTCGCACTGTTGTCGTAAGGACTCAAAAAAATTATACTTAGAACAGTCGTTCAGAAACATTACGAGTCTTTACCAGGCTTATGTTCAACATTGTGAGAAGTCGAATGAAAAGCCCATGAGCCAAAATTCCCTTACTAAGATGGTGAAGAAACTGAATATTGCGTTGTATCAGCCCAAAAAGGATGCTTGTGACATCTGCTGTCAATATGAAGAGAAAAACATATCTGAAGAAACTTGGAAAATACATCAAGCTGAAAAAGAGCGGGAAAGAGTGGAAAAAAGCAAAGATAAAGAGGAAGCTTTGACAGGTACTCAACACGTTCTGACAATGGATTTGCAAGCTGTTAAAGTGTGTCCATCAGTGATGGCTAGTACGGCATACTTCAAAACCAAGCTATGTGTCCACAATTTCACCGTCTACAATTTAGCGACGAGAGACTGTACTTGTTATTGGTTTGATGAAACTAGTAGTGACTTACAGGCCTCAACGTTTGCCTCATTTATTGTAGATTACATCAGGAAACATTTTAATTGTGAAAAACCAATAATTATATACTCGGATGGTTGCACTTATCAGAACCGAAACACCATTATGTCTAATGCACTGTTGCATTTGGCTATGGATTTGAATGTCACAATTGAGCAAAAGTTCTTGATAAAGGGACACACTCAAATGGAGTGTGATAGTGTGCATGCTACAATAGAAAGAAAACTAATTGACAGAAAGATAGTTCTACCAAGTGACTATGTAAGGATATGTGAAGAATCAACGTCAAAGCCCTCCAAATATGAATCAGTAATGGTTGATCATGATTTTTTTACTAATTATAACAACGTGCAAGTATATAAGTCGATAAGACCTGGACGAAAGGTTAACGATCCTACCGTAACGGATCTCCGAGCACTGCAATACTCCCCAACTGGAAAAATCTTCTATAAATTGAAATTTGACGACCCTTATCAAGAACTGCCGATGAGGACTACCCGTACAAAGCCAACAGAGAATGTGGTTCTAACGCAGTTACCCAAAGAACGACTGAAGATTAAAAACACCAAATTCGACCACTTCCAAAAGTTAAAGGCAGTTTTGTCTAAGGACGTTTGGCCGTTTTATGACCAGCTACCTCACTACGAATAGTTTCATTGTTGCTAGCGAGTCATTACGTTGTGCAATAACTTCATTTGTGTTATTTTTTTTATGTTGTACCTGATAAAAGATAGCATAGGTCCACAAAAAGGTTTACCGCGGTCAGGCATTGCTTCAGCTCCATTTAGTTCTTTTTATCTCCATTCGTTATTATCGATTGTAAGGCGAGTTTTGGACTAAGCCGCCCAACAAACATAATGTAGTCCCACCCACAGTCCAATTCTTTTTTGTGACCTATGTCTTCTTAACAAGTATACTTTAAAATAGCTGTTTAACTAAGTTATAACTTATTTGCTTATTTTTATTTTGTTTTTATGGAATTTAAAATTCCCAGGTGACTACGACAAAAACACGTAAGTCAAGGATTTTTTGTATTCAATAACTCGTATGTACAAAATAAAGTGAACAACAAACAGTTATTGTTCAAACCAATTATAGGAGTCGATTTAATATCTCCAAGATCCTAAATATTAATACCTCACATGGATATGATCTTTTATATTCAAGCTGTGCAGTTTTTTATGCCTCCTGCAAAATGCTACTTTTTGATATACGAGGTATTGATTTGAGGTCGTCGATATGTTAAAAAGGATTTTGATTTCTATGACTCTATAATGTAAATTATAACCAGGAATGTTAAACTGCTTATACTGTTTAAATTGAAAGATTACCATTGGGTAACATCACCTTTATTTTTTAATACGGCTGAAATTCTTTGGGGCATAGTGTTAACCAAGTTTTGGCAAAAATTTGGTGTAAAACAATCCCATATTTCTTGAAGCTTTTGTCTCAGTTCGGTGATTGTACGAGCATGATGTTGTCGTAGAACCTTTTTCATCTCGTGCCACAAAGTTTCAATAGGTGACAGATCTGGACTGCTAGAAACCCATTTCAAAAGTAGTACATTATTTTCTTCCATCCATTTTATAGCCTTTTTAGAGGTATGGCACGCTGCACCATCTTGCTGAAACACAAAATCTTGGCCGGATGTCAAACATTCTTCCATCACTGGTAAAAGCGATTCTTCTAAAATTGCTAAATATTTGTTTGTATCCACATTTCCATCAATAAAATGAAGTTTTTCTACTCGTTTTGATGACATACTGCCCCAGACCATAATGGATGTTGGAAATTTTACTTTTCCCTTCAGACAGTCAACATGGAATGCTGAATTTTTTTGCGAATAACTCTACTGTGAGTGTCATCAACACAAACTTCGAATCGGGCCTCATCAATCCATTGTATTGCACACCATTGTTGAGGTGTCCAATGTCTATGTTCTTTAGCCCATCTAAGCCGATTTTTCTTTTGCAGTGGAGGTAATAGTGGCTTTTCTTTGGCCTATAAACAAGTTGTGCGACTTTAAGGTTTTTACTTCACTTTTTTTATAAGAAAACTTACCTTGCAAGTGCTAAATCCCAGTTTGTGGGCCTCTCTATGAGTTGTGGACCTCGAAATTCTCCTTCCAACAGCGTCACTCCACAGAGCACTTAATTGTAAATAATTGGCACGCCTGTTTTTCACGATTATTCTTCTTAATGCTCTTCGGTCGGCATTTGTGATATAACTTTTTTTTCACATATCGTGGCTTAATATTAACTGAACCAGTTACGTTATATCTATCTAACAATATTTCTCGGACTGTACCGCGATAAGTCTAACAAAGTTGCAATTTCTGAGTGTGAATTCCCAGAATTAAAAAATGTAATTATCAGTAACCGAATTTTCTCACTAATAACCTTTCCTCTACCCATTTTGAAAACCTTAACTACCCAAAACTATTTTAAACGTATTCTGAGAGCTGTGATTAATAAAAACAATTGAAATGAAAATAGGTTGATATGCTGTAATTGCAACATGTGTTATTTTTATGCTGCAAATTTGATTAGGGAGTGATAAAAGTTGGTGTTTTCTACTATATATTATCAAAATATTCATTGTTAATATTTTAAACCTATAGCACCCAGCTACATTTTTATTATTTGTGTTTGATATGAAAAAAAATTAATATTTCAATAGTTGGGCCAACTGAAGTGGGAAGCGACTCGTATTTACATGAATAAGTGTTAAAAACGTGTCTTTAGTATTCAATTCCGTTTTTAGAATACGCGCAATGCTGATGCTCTTTTAAAGGTCTAGCTCAGGCCTGTCCAACATAATTTTTTGAATTGCCATGTTTAGTATATTTGTAACCATAGCGGGTCAAAAGAAAAGTAAAGTGACACATAGGTATTTAGGTAGGTAGGTACTATTAAAATCTAATTAATGTGTCTGACATTTTTTCTGTTTGCACAGTTTTGATTTCTTATATTTCACGCGGGTAAACAGCTGTTCGCAAATATATGTACTACCGAATAAGAAAAGTTTTGTAATTCAATTAATGCTAACTGTAGGTTCGGTTCTGCGTTTTCAATTTCACCATCAAATGGATTTTGGAACCCTTTCATGCTGGGAATTTGCGATTTGTAGTCTACGAATCTCTAATCAAACTCATTCCTCAACATTTGCAACGACAACACGTACTTTACAAAGTCGAATGACTCTTGGTTTCTTGCAATACGGTCTCCCAATGAACCAACTGCTTCTGTTCCAGCTGCTTTTCCATCAATAAGAGCTTCTTCATGAAAGCTTGAACATTTTCATATAACTGCGTGCATAGTTGATCTTTCCCTTGCTGTTTTGAGTTAAGATCAGAAAGACAGTTAGTTATAATATCAACTAGGAAAGCTAGATCAACCAACCACTGCTCATCAGTAAGGAATCTAGTGTCTTGGCCTTTGTTTTGAGGATAAATCTTTACTTCTTCGAGCTACGAATAGAATCGTTTCAGTGTGGATGTTCTGCCGAGTCATCGAACGCGACTGAAGTACACAGTGTCTTCATGATCTGAACCGATATCAGACAGGAAAGCCTGGAACTGCCTGTGATTAAGTCCTCTTGCACATATAAAATTAACTGTCCACACTACCTTATCCATCACGTGTTTCAGGTCAAATACTTTTGCACACAGCTGTTCTTGTTGAATAATACAGTGATGCAGTATGATTGTATGTGTGATGCTATTGCGCATTAAAGCCACAAATCCATTTGTTCTCCGGTCATTTTCGATTTGAAATTCATATTTTTCTATACAACTCTTTACTTCTCCGTAGATATCTTCTTCAGTGGTTGTATCTTCGGAAGTATTTTTGAATTTTGGATGAGAGTTGTAACAGGCTCGCGGGCCGGATAAAGGGCCTATGTGGGCTGGGTAGGGGCCCTGCGGAGGCCGTATGTTGGACAGGAGTAGTCTAGCTCTTCTAATGCATCTGCTTTCACGTTCATGGCCATTGGCGTTATAATTTTCAGTCGCTAGACCCTCCCCCAGAATTATTTCTGGATACGCCAGTGATTGAGCAATCTTGTCGGGAATCGACGTTGAAACACAGGAGTATCGATTTTTCATGTCTGTAACCTTTGGGGCTAGGGAGATTTGGGGATGCCTTTAAACGCTTTTTTCAATTTATCCTTTGATTTTTGGACACTTGGCGTCTCCGCTATCAGTCGTACGGAAACTATGGGGCTATAGGTTAAAGACGGAAGGGCGGATCTTCTTCATGCGCCTTGCAGTGACTTTTGAAACGCAAAACCAACTGTGATCACCTAATAGTTTTAGGACATAGTGGCATTTTTATGTCCACGTTTCAAATTTCCGTCACCCGGCTAAACTAGGTAGTCCTAGATGAACAAAGTTAACAAATTGTGACTGCAGAATCTGTTTGTATTGACCTTAGAGGATTTCTCGAAAAAGCAAAAATTTTATATAATTTGATTTCCGCTTAAAGGCGCCGAACCTCTGTCTACAAAGCAAGAAGCATGTAGACAGAAAGTGTTTAAACTATATACTATGGCTTCAGTAGCCTAGCACTTACCGCTTATCTATTCAATACCAAGCATCCGCCTACCATATCCGACTTGATCAAACTACCTCCTTCTCCCTGAATATTGAAATTTGAAAAAAATATTTTGCTTTTCAAAAGTCTGGAGATATTTTACAAATAAAGATGTCATTTACTTTGAAAATCACACCATATTCGGAATTTAATTAAGCCTACACCTCATCAACAGCAATAACCCGCCGCCATTGGAAAAAATCTAACCAAGCCGCCTGCTCCTATAGAATGCGGTTCTTTTTATCTATAATTTATGACTCCGACATTACCTTCATCATGCTTTTTACCGACTTCCGGGTTAATAGAACGTTGCAATTCGCTATTTTTGGAGGCGAGAAGATGTAGGAGGTATGTGCAACTTGGATTGCTCATTTTTGTACATCTACAGGTAGGTAAACTGTATAACTTGATATGTAAATCATTCCGTATGACTGGCATGCCAGATTCTGATAACAATTTAATAGTAAGAGACCTTTTTGCTGCTATTTTCAATGTTTTCTTCTAAAGTATATGTCGAGAATACATGTCACTCATTTTATAATCACTGAATAATGATGTTTCACATATGTGTTCACGTTGTTTGAGTCTTTGTGATGCTATAATAATTTCCAATAGCCTGCGTTTTATCGGGTCTTTATTAGTGCCGATTGTATATCATGATTTTGGAATGGAAAACAAAATTCTTTCAGCTTGGGAAGTACTGAGCCAACTTACTTGATATAGTTGTGCTTAGTCAGTAGTCACCGTTCTTGGCGGGTCAAAGTAAGACTACCAGTATCCCTTTATATGTACAGGGTGTCCCAGAAATGACACGAAAGGTAGATCGGCTTCAGATCAATCAGATGAAATCAACAGGGCCTTAGTAAAAGTTTTCTAGTTTTCGAGATATTGCCACTTCCAAGTTTTTTGAAAAAATTCCCACTTTTTAAAGAACTTCTAACTTATGATTTTTTCTGGGCAACCATTAGTAGAAGGTTGAGACAATCGAGTATTTATTTCATTGAAAACTAGTACGGTAAGCTAAAAAATAAAAAAAATATTACATTTGGTTCCAATGCAAAAACCTTTACTAAAGTTTTACTAATTAAAGTGAAAAAAACGTAGCAGCAAATGACCTTAAAAATTAGCTATTGAATGCTCTTTCCAAATAGTATACGAATGTACTTCTTTTTACTAAAAACTGAATAATTCCAAGATTTGTCATTGAAGTCGTAATACTTGCGATATACTCCAAATAAAAATAATGAGTGCAGCTGCCTTTTGTGACCAAATTACAACTTTGTAGTTGCTGTAATTTTGGAGCGCAGGTACCATCTGATTGCTGTAAAAATCAACAGAAATAAAAAAATACAACCTTATGTTCTGTTCATTATTTGTATGCCTGCATAGAACAATGAATAAAAAGGATAATGGATAGCTGTTTTAGACATTTGCTAAAATAAAAACCGATTACAGCAACTACAACGTTGTAATTTGGACACAAAAGACCTTTTATTCGTAGTAAAGTATTCTGAATTGAATGACAAAACTTGGAATTATTCCGTTTTTAGCAAAAAGAACCTACATGTTATACTATTCTTGAAAGAGCATTAAATATCTATACTGAGTGAGAAAAAATTAAACACCTAGGCCTACGTATGTTTATTAGAATTCAAGAATTTGTTACGTATCGATTTATCTTGCCATGGACAACAAGTGATAAAATGGTGAAGTTTTTGTGGTGGTTGCGTGTATTGTTTGGTGATAAAGAAGCATTCAGTTTTCGTACATTTACAGTGTCATTGAATGTTAAATTTCGTGTAGCTTATTGAGCTTTTTTGTGACTGCTCAAAATGCCTAGAGTGCATAGAATTCTCCAGGTCTCTCAGCTAAGTGACTTTGAGAGGGATCGAATTGCCAGGTTGCGTTAATCCGGTCTATCGATAGGAGGATCCACAGATCCTTACGCAGTATACTGCAGTGGGAACGAGCGTGGGCTCAGGAAGGCTGAGGACAGCGAGCTAGGGGTTCTGGACGTCCCAGAGGGACCACAGAGCGACAAGACCGCCAATTAAGACCTCGCTCTGAGAGAAAGATTCAGTAGTACTCAGGCCATCGGCTAAC